CGGCTTTGCTTTTCATTACCAACATCAAAGTTTTTGTCAAATCCTTACAGTCTGGCAACTTTAGAGCCTAAACTAATGAAGAGAGCTGCGAAACTGGGCTCACCGACATGATGTGACCTGAGGGATTTATTTTCATTATGTGTATGTCACAGCCAAAGAAACACCTCAGATATGTGGAAGCTACAAGTGAATGATAATTCACCTGGCCACCCACAAACTTTATAATTTTATGTTCAAGTGGATCGTATGCGCTTTTGGAAGAAAGTCCATTTTAAGCTCCTTACGCTTGTGCACACACTGCATGTGTTTGAACTCAGAGAGGGGAACATCAACATTTAAAACGTGAGATGCTTTTATGTGCACAACCGTTCAAGCTTTTTGAAGCGTCCGGCCAAACACACGGCTGACTTCACAGAATAACTAGAATGTGTTCTGTGTGGAGTAAAGTAGCTTATGCTCACGTTGCTCCAAGCAAAGTGTGTTCATTTTGTCCAAAATAAATGAAGGATGAGAGGAGAGCACAGTAATGACAGCCCGACTCCGCTGGCAGCTCTGCCTCCTGCAGAGAAACTGCCTGAAGAAGCATCATTAAGAACAACGGTGACATTTACAGGCCGGCTGTGCTGCAGGCCTCCCATTAAAGGAGGAGAAACATGGATGATGCCCTCAGGATGAGGAGCATCTATGTGGCCATAAGACTAGAAGCAACTATTGGCCCTTTTCCTTTAGTAACGGTACAGCACGGTTCAACTCGACAGCACGGTTCCAAGGCTTTTCCACTAGTAACGGTTTGTGGAAATGGTCCCTTTTTCTCTGGGGTTCCAACTTCTAACCGTGCCGAACTGGCCCTAAAAGGTGACGTCAGAACACTGTCAGTCACTGATTGGTCAGGGGGTGGAGTCACTGGCTGTTTGAGAAACTTTTCACATCAACAAGATCCGCCATTTGCAATAACTCAAACTCAAGGAGCGACTGGACCTATTTTGAAGATTATAAAAACAATAATGACAACACCGTGGTCTAATGCTGAAGTGCAGGCATTTTTTTTTTGTTGCTTTGTGGCCAACGACACAATTCAGAGCGAGCTAGATGGAGCTCCGCCGGTCCACTCCACCAGAGCCTCAGAGCCCCCTCAGGCCGTGCAGGGCATCATCTACCTGGCTCAGAGCTCCGCTGGTCACCACGGAGGATCATACGAGCTGACGACTCACAGAAGGTTGGGGTCCGGGCCCCGACCTCGCGTGATCATGAAGGCCGGACCCCAACACCCGGCAGACGGGAGGTCCGGGACGGATCTGGGACTGAGGTTGGGAATGATTTTTTAATTTTAATAATCTGTATTCTTTTTAATTTACCAGAAACTTCAAAATAAAATTTCACCCTGTACTGAAGCCTGTTTCAAGGTCTTAACACCAGCATTACTGCCACCAGCTGATAAGGCACGTGAAGTCAATTTGAACCCGCCCACTAGAACCAGTACTGAAAGTATAATGGAAACCAAGTTGGTATCTTTGCAGACAAATTCGGAAAGCGTATCTGGGGGGCCACATCTGATTGGAAGAGGCATATCCGGGGGGCCATATCTGATTGGACTATAGGAAAATGGGCGTGTCTGGCGGGCCACATCTGATTTGACGGTAGAAAAACGGGCGTGTCTGGCGGGCCATATCTGATTTGATGATAGGAAAATGGGCGTGTCTGGTGGGCCACATCTGATTGGATGATAGAAAAATGGGCGTGTCTGGCGGGCCACATCTGATTGGCCGATAGAAAAGTGGGCATGTGTGGCGGGCCACATCTGATTGGACAAAAAAAAAAAACTGAACGAAAAAAGCCGTTTGTGTTAACCACAGACATATTATGTCTATGGTGTCAACTGGTTCCACATTAGTGGCGTCTCCATAACTTCTCTTTCCGTCTCTCTTAACACAGAACTTCCGGTTACATTTCAAAATAAGAGCAACATAACTGGGTAGTGGGGAGGGCTAAATGTTTGTTTTTGAATACTTAGCCATTACATTAAAAAACAAATTCCATTTTGGTTGTTGAAAAATGTAAAAATAGTTACAATCGATTCATAAAGAAAGAAACATAAAGTAACCAAAATATTAATGATACTTAAATTGGCCTTGGGACCAAGGATGTTGCCTTTAACTTCACATTTTCTTGTTCAGCCTTTTAAAGCAGTCACTGCAGATGAGTGATTGTCAGTTTTGGTAAGATTTCTGCAACTGGAGCAGGTATTTCTGTTTAGTGGTTAACTTCCTCAGCTGTCTCACATTTTAAGGGTCAACTCTACTCCATGTGTCAGCTCCTTTCATAGATCTCATAGAAGAACTTCTAAAGAGCAAATTTTGTTTTTAGCATTTGTTTTGGGCCTTTATCTCGTTACAGGACTCATGATCTTTAATTGAGACCAGACTTTTTGACAAATAGGAGCAGGTTTCACTTCAGATGCTTCATATTTCATTGTACCCAGACTACACTCAAGGCAACCTGTGTCAGGTGCAGCCTACAACCAAGAACACAAGAGTGACTTGTGTTTGACAGTAGATATAACGCTGGTTCTTAAAAACCTTAGAAACCTTCAGTTTTAAAAAAGAGCTGACGTAACTTACCTAAAGAACAACAAATACAGCTAGCCAATCAGTGTTTGCCCCCTACAAACGCCTATTCTCCAGAAACGCTCAGTTTTGGCCTGCAGCGAACCCCTTCTCATGGAAACACAACGTGTACCGTACCATACCATACCATACCATACCAATTTATTTATATAGCACTTAAAACAGCAACAAGGCCAACCAAAGTGCTGTACAAAAGAACACAAACATGCACAGCGGACAGGAAAACATAAAATAGAAATACAGATACAAATAGCAGCAGAAGCTAACTAAAATGGCCAACAGAGTAGAGAACAGACCAGACCAAAACAAATCACACCGTGTTAAAGGCAAGCGAATAGAAGTGGGTCTTCAAGCGAGACTTAAAGACTGAGAGTGTGGGAGCCTGCCGGACACTCAGTGGCAACTCATTCCACAGTCGTGGACCTGCAACAGAGAAAGCCCTGTCACCTCTGAGCTTACGACGGGTTTCTGGGACTGAGAGAAGCATCTGGTCTGCTGACCTCAGAGAGCGCGGTGGGACATATGGCTGCAGAAGATCAGTGAGATAGAATGGGGCGGAACTGTTCAGTGATTTAAAAACATACATGAGAATTTTGAAATGGATCCGAAGGTGAATGGGTAGCCAGTGCAGGGAGGCCAAAACTGGTGTGATGTGCTCTCTATAGCCTGTACCAGTTAAAAATCGGGCTGCAGCATTTTGGACCAGTTGTAGACGAGCAATGGAGGACTGACTGATTCCAAACAGAAGTGAATTGCAGTAATCAAGCCTAGATGTTATGAAGGCGTGGATCACTGTCTCGAGGTTCTTTTTGTTGAGTATAGGCTTCAGCTTAGACAGCCGTCTCAGCTGAAAAAAACAGGATTTGACCATCATGTTTACGTGACTGTTGAGTTTTAAGGACGGGTCCATTATCACCCCCAGATTAGTGACCTTTTGTTTCTCTAGCGGGGCTAGAGAGAATAGGTCAATGTCATAGTTCATGAGTGAGCCACTGGGATGGAACAGCATGACTTCAGACTTCTTCTCATTGAAGCTTAAGAAGTTTAAAGCCATCCAGTCCCGGATGTCAGCCAGGCAGTCAAGAAGAGGCTGAATAGAGCGTGTGCCTCTGTGCCTCAGGGGGAAGTAAATTTGGCAATCATCGGCATAGAAATGAAAGGGTATGTCGTGTTTGCGGAAGATAGCACCTAGTGGCAGCAGGTATAAAGAAAAGAGAAGGGGACCGAGGATGGACCCCTGCGGTACCCCCCACTGGAGTGCGGTCGATGCCGAACTAAAATCTTTGATATTGACACAGAAGGTTCTGTCAGAGAGGTAGGACCCAAACCATTTAAGGGCTGACCCTGTGATGCCCACCCACTGCTCCAGTCTAGAAATGAGGATATTGTGGTCGATGGTGTCAAAAGCAGATGTAAGGTCCAATAGGACAAGCAGCACAGAATCACCTGCGTCTGTGGATATGAAAATGTCATTAAAAACCTTAAGTAGAGCAGTTTCAGTGCTATGGAGAGATTTGAAGCCAGATTGGAATAACTCAAGGATAGCGTGATCCCCCAAAAACTGTTTCAACTGAGACTCCACAATTTTTTCCAGTAGTTTAGAGGTGAATGGGAGTCTGGAGACAGGCCGGAAGTTGGACATGACTGAGGGGTCAAGGTTAGGTTTTTTCAGGAGGGGCTGGACAGCAGCATGTTTAAAAGTCTTTGGCACCACACCTGAGGATAAACTGCTATTCAGAATAGCGAGGATAAAAGGACCCAGGGTAGGAAAAACTTCCTTTAGCAGTCGAGGGGGGACCACATCAAAGGGGGAACCAGATGGCTTCATGCTGCACATTACCTGCTCCAGAGAGGACAGAGAGATGGGCTCAAAGTGGTCAAACACAGCCACACACTGAGAAGGGATGTACCGAGCCGAGTCGTACCTTGCTATTCCGGTATTAAAGGTATGAATGGAAAAAAGCATATGTGGAGACAAAGGAGAATCTGTTTCCTGTTTCTGCAGGTGCACACTTGAGCAGCATGGTTTCAGGAACCATCAAGCTCCTGATTATTACCTTTGACCTAAACCAGCACAGTGATACATATACTGGTAGCTTCCCAGCTGATGACTGCTGATACGTGGCCTTCGGCTACAGCACTAAATGTCAGGGACTCAGCTCTCTTTTTAAAGCTTGTTTTGTTCTGTATAAACATTTTAAAATACTAATACCACATAAATGAAGTGTAACAGGCCTCATGAGCAAACAGCTCGTGTCTCTAATCAGTGCCGCAGGGTCAAAGCACTCAGTGCAGGGGAAAAGTAGCTGAGAGATCAGCTGAGCACATGAAGGAGGGTGACCCAGCACAGCAGCCGGCAGAGGAAGCGGCACGTACCTTAACGTAGGCCGTGTAGCGCTGACACCTCTCCCTGTTGATGTCCAGGCTCAGATGCTGGCTCAGCTGGCTGGTCTGAGCTCCAGCTTGGCTGAGGTAAATCCGGGAAGGCTGGGCCTTCTGTCGCTTATCAACATCAGCAGTCAAGTTGTACAGCAACTCTGAGGGGAGGCAGAAACAAATCATGTCAAAAGGAGGGGAAAAGCCTGGGAAGCACTTGAAGCACGCAGTGTTTTGGTTCCTAGTATTAAAAGCAAACGAGATAAACCAAGTTAGTGGGAAGAAGAGCAAATCAGGAAAGTTGTCAAACTAAAGCAGTTAAGTTTCTGTAAATATAACCCTCCTGCTATCCAATCTGACCCACACGGTATATTTTTAAACACTTGGACCTCACAGGTCATTTTGACCCAACGCCAGCATTTCCCATATTTGCTGCCTCAGTATTATGCCATGTTGAAAATGTTTTAAAGTGTTTAAAGTCTGTTCCTGTGAATGAATCAGACCCATTATGTCCATAGCTGTTTCCTGAGGAGGGTGTCATGCTGGTAGAACAGAGGGAGGGGCGGTAAGCACACCCAAGTCGGACCGAAGCCCACAGTTTCTGTCGTCCAGCAGAGTGAGCGCCATGAGCTCATTGCAGAGGAGGTGAGGGAAGGTTTCATCGTGGGAGTCACTGAAACACTCAGCGCTTCACTTTCCACGGCCATCGCCAGACGGCCAAACAGAGAGGCTTTATTCCTTCGAGCCAGGACATAATCATTATGTAACAACAGGGCTCCTGTTCCCCAGGGGGGTGAGGGTGGGGGTGAGTGACCACACCCAAACACCAGAACAGAGCTGCACCTCAGCTGTCATCAGACACCGCACCCAAGAACATGCAAGGCTGGGCGGTAAAACGCCGGCTTTACTGAGATTCAACCACGGGCAAGAACCTGATCATGATGAGGACACGTTTCTGATCTAATTGTCTTTTCAAAGTCCAGGAAGTTTAAATTTCTCTTTTTTTAATGACACTAAAAGAGCACAATATGTTGAGAAGGGCGGTTCAGGTCTTCTGAAGTAGGATTCTGTCGATATAAACAACTAATATCTCCCCGGTTGTCAGTCCAGTCAGAGTTCAACTACTTCTCCAAACTGAGTTCGTTCAAAGAGCTATCTACAACCGAACAGAGGTTGATTCTTTATAACTTTGCCACAGAAACACAACTCAATCCACGTGAGGTGTCTCGTTAGAGCTGCGCTTCAACATTCATGAAACACCTTGTCAATTTAGATTTATACTTAGTGTTTGCTTGAAAGTAGAGAAAAGATTAGAAAGATATTTTATTTAAAATTGTGTAATGAAGGTAAGAGAGGTGAGAGAGAGCAACTTGAAAGCAGCACCTTAGAGCTCGGACATCTGAGCTAATACAAAAATACAAACTGCTACAAGTGAAAAGGATTGAGGCGTTGTGTAAAACCCTAACTTGTGTTTTGCTGCTTGAATTCAGATATATTCATACATACTGGTGAATAAAACAACTCAATATACTATTGCAATGGTTTATTATCTGGGTGTCCAAATACTTCTTTAAAAAAGTCTTCAGTTAATCCAAAATGCTGCTGCAAGATTCTTAACTGGAGTTACTGGGAGAGATCATATCAACAGTTTTATCTTTTTTCCACTGGCTCCCAGTCAAGTCCAGAATATAATTCAAAATATTTCTTCTAACCTACAAAGCCCTCAACAACCTAGCTCCATATTATATTAGAGACCTAATTGTTCCATATTTTTCCAACAGAGCACTTCACTCTCAGACTGCAGGTTTACTTGCAGTTCCTAGAGTTTCCAAAAGTAGATTGGGAGGAAGATCTTTCAGTTATCAGGCTCCTCTCTTGTGGAACCAACTTCCAGATTCTGTCTGTAAGGCTGACATATTGTCCAGTTGTAAGACTTTCTTTTTTGATAAATCCTATAGTTAGGGTTGGCTTGTTAAACTGCTATAGGCTTAGACTACTAGAGGGCAAATTGACCTGTTAAAATTGAATATTTTCATTTGATACTATTTCAATATTAATATGTGATTCTTGTCATACCATTGTGTATCTGTTCCTCTCAAACCCAGCCAGTCGAAGCAGATGACCGCTTGTCCTGAGCCTGGTTCTGCTAAAAGTTTCTTCCTCATTAGGGAGTTTTTCCTTTCCACTGTCGCCTTCATGCTTGCTCAAGATGAGAGTTCTGTGACGAAGTTAAATTCAAAGCAGTCTGCTCCTCAGATAAATAATGTTAACTTGTTTATATATATATGAATATTTCTGTTCTGTCCTGAGATGACTTATGTTGTGACTTAGTGCTATATAAATAAACTGAATTGAATTGAAATTCAATACAAGTTTCGGTACTTACTTTCCAATATGTACCAAACTCTTTATGTCCATACGCAGGAAATATGTTATTTTACTTTCAGCGTCTCCTTTTAACCTACAAATGTCCTTTTTTCATCTTGTAAGACTGCTGCCTTTGTATTTTATATTGAAAAGTGCCTATTGGAGTGTTTATTTATTAATACCTAGATTTAATTAATATTTTTTTTACATTTTCAAAAGGCACCAAACAGTTTTCACTCACATTTCTACAACAATCAGTTTCACTATTGACGCTTCTTATATTACAGTAACTGAAATAAATGTATTTTTGTCAGAAAGCATAAAGCAATTCTCAATATATGTTTTGCACTTCGGAGTCCTCTGTATGAACGTTTTTGGGTCAAAATAGGCCACCTGATAAAACATAAAATAATTTCTTCATCAAACCAATTCAAATAAAACCTAGAAGGTGGATTTGGCATGAAGTTACCACACGTGTGTGTTAGTGGAATAAAAAGTGTAGAAAATAAAAATAACTGCCCATCAATAACAAATCTTGTCTAGAAATGTAAATAGTGTTATGGTTTTGTTTAGTTTTGGCAAAAGGAACACAAGCTGTTCTTTATAACTCTCATTTTTCATGCTAAGCTAAGCTAATAATGTCATTCTTTATGTATGCATTGAATATGACAGAGCTAATGAGCCTCATGTTCTTTGCAGGACAGCAAAAAAAATAAATAATTCAAAACCTGTCCAACTTTGTTTCATTAAACAAATACTTTCACTTTGCAGATGTTTTCACCTATTTGTCCGGGCAGCTGTCTTCCCCGAAAGCGCATGCAAACGGTGACGTTGAAACAGTTGAGGTTCTGGTGGCCCTCGTGGCACTGCGGCGTAGAGATGTTGATGGAGATAGGAAGGAAGATGGAGACATCCACTGTAATGACAGGCCGGGACCTACAACCACACAATTCCAGACAGAAACACAGAGTGGGAGAAAGTGATCATTACAGGGAAGCAGAAGAAGAAAAACTCCTTAGCTTAGCAGTCACTCACCTTAACAGCACCACACTGTCCGCCATGAAAGCTCCAATAGTTACATCTGCAAGAAAACGTAAATAAAACAGGATTAAGGAGGTATGACATGAATGCAACATCTGCAGTCAGCAGTTTTTACACCTGCACGTTAAAAACAATGCTCAGAGGTCTTCGGCCTCAGTCTGTCAGCTGTGGAATGCAGTAAACAACATGCTGCTGTCACGAGTGTGGAGATCTGTTTCTCACTGACAATAAGAATCTGCAAACATAACAAAACATTTGGCAAAATGATCTTTTTTCAATTGATGATTGTTTTTATACATATATATGTATTTTAGGGTCAGGAACACTTGATATGATAATGTTGCACGATATGATAATGTTGCACCTGTGTATCCATTGTCATCCATATCCACATTCCCAGAGATGGACTGGCCAAACATCTGCAGACCAGGGCTCACGCTGCGCCCAGACAGTTTCTGGAACAAAGGATGAAAACAAAATACGGGCATGTGAGGCAACACAGAAAAAAAAAAAAAACCAGTGAATCAGTTTATAATAAACTAATATACAAACCGGATTCCAAAGAAGTTGGGACACTAAACAAATTGTGAAAAAAAACTGAATGCAATGATGTGGAGATGGCAAATGTCAATATTTTATTCGTAATATTACATAGATGACAGATCAAAAGTTTAATCTGAGTAAATGTAACATTTTAAAGGAAAAATATGTTGATTCAAAATTTCACAGTGTCAACAAATCCCAAAAAAGTTGGGACAAGTAGCAATAAGTGGCTAGAAAAATATAACGAATAGCTGGAAGACCAATTAACACTAATTAGGTCAATTGACAACATGATTGGGTATAAAAAGAGCTTCTCAGAGTGTCGGTGTCTCTCAGAAGCCAAGATGGTAAGAGGATCACCAATTCCACCATTGTTGCGCAGAAAGATAGTGCAGCAATACCAGAATGGTGTTACCCAGCGTAAAATAGCAAAGACTTTTAAGTTATCATCATCAACCGTGCATAACATCATCAAAAGATTCAGAGAATCTGGAACAATCGCTGTGCGTAAGGGTCAAGGCCGTAAAACTCTACTGGATGCTCGTGATCTCCGGGCCCTTAAACGTCACTGCACCTCAAACAGGAATGCCACTGTCAAGGAAATAACAGAATGGGCTCAGGTATACTTCCAGAAAGCATTGTCAGTGAACACAATCCACCGTGCCATCCACCGTTGCCAGCTGAAACTCTACAGTGCAAAGAGGAAGCCATTTCTTAGCAAGCTCCACAAGCTCAGATGTTTGCACTGGGCCAGGGGTCATTTAAAATGGAGTGTGGCAAAATGGAAGACTGTTCTGTGGTCAGATAAGTCACAATTTGAAGTTCTTTATGGAACACTGGGACGCCATGTCATCCGGACCAGAGAAGACAAGGATAGCCCAAGTTGTTATCAACGCTCCATTCAGAAGCCTGCATCACTGATGGTATGGGGTTGAATGAGCGCTTGTGGCATGGGCAGCTTGCATGTCTGGAAAGGCACCATTAATGCAGAAAACTATGTTCAGGTTCTAGAACAACATATGCTCCCATCTAGACGTCATCTCTTTCAGGGAAGACCCTGCATTTTTCAACACGATAATGCCAGACCACATTCTGCAGCAATCACAACATCAGAGCTACGTAGGAGAAGGATCCAGGTACTGAAATGGCCAGCCTGCAGTCCAGATCTTTCACCTATAGAGAACATTTGGCGCATCATAAAGAGGAAGGTGCGACAAAGAAGGCCCAAGACAATTGAACAGTTAGAGGCCTGTATTAGACATGAATGGGAGAGCATTCCTATTTCTAAACTTGAGAAACTGGTCTCCTCTGTCCCCAGACGTCTGTTGAGTGTTGTAAGAAGAAGGGGGGATGCCACACAGTGGTAAAAATGTACTTGTCCCAACTTTTTTGGGATTTGTTGATGCCATGAAATTTGGAAACAACAGATTTGTCCCTTAAAATTATACATTCTCTCAGTTTAAACTTTTGATCTGTGATTTGTGTTCTATTCTGAATAAAATATTAGATGTTGGCACCTCCACATCATTGCATTTAGTTTTTATTCACAATTAGTTTAGTGTCCCAACTTTTTTGGAATCCGGTTTGTATTTATTTGGCTGCAAATGCTTTTAAAAATGTCTGATTAAACAGCTCACACACACGATGTGGTAAAATTCAGAGGGTTTGGGATCACTCAACTAGCAGCATATGGCTAACCTTAAATTCTTCATCACAATGTAGCACGCACTCGTGAACAAAGTAAAAAGACGTAGAAAATTGTATTTTTAATGAAAATGCCGTATAAATGCTGAGTGCTTAATGACTATTGATGAAATTTACTGAAGAAGCTGAATTTGAGTTGTTAATAAATACAGCAGAACAGCAGCTAAAAGCTAAAAAAAGTAAAACACCAAAAGTAGCAAAAAGCTAACTAAAAGCTGAAATAAGCCAAAGGCTAGCTAAAAACTAAAAGTAGCAGAACAGTCTAAAATTTTACTATAAAAGTAGCAAAATGCTAGCTACAGTAAACATAAAAAAGAAGTAAAGATTAACAAAAAAATAATTCTTCTTCTTTTGGCTGCTCCCTTCTTCAGGGGTCACCACAGCAAACTGATACATGAAGACTTGGCTTTTTTTTTATGCCAGATGCCCTTCCTGATGCAACCACAAAGCACCGAGCTACCACAGCCCTCTGTGTGGAACAGAGAGCTGCCATCTAGGGCACTCGGAGGAGCAGATGGTGGTCAAGGGCCTTGCTCAACGGCCCAGAATGGGACAAATGAGGGTAGAGGGGATGTGGAAATTTCACCTTTCCCACCCACGTTTTAATGTTGTCGGTCTGGGGAGTTGAACCGGCGACCTTCCGATCACAAGCCCACCTTATCTAATCTCTGTGCCACCACTCATCCTTAAAGATTAACTAAAAACTAAAAGGTGCAAAATTCATTCAACCTTTATTTAGACAGGTAAATCCCATTGAGCCTCGAGGACTCATTTACAAGAGAGACCTGGTTTCAACAAAGAATGATGACAACAATGGACAACAGCAACAACAATAGACAGTTACAAAAAGGCATACATAGTTTTATTTATTTTTTTTACAAATAAGATGGCAAAAAAAGTATCAAAAACAGCTAGATTATAAGGCGAATGTAGAAAACTAAAAACAGGAACATGTCTGCATTGGTCCTTGCCAGGAGTCCAAAAGTGCAAATAAGCAAAACACTTTTTACGTTTAAAAACACAAGCTAAAAGCTAAAAGTAGCAAACGGCTAGCTAAAAACTAAAAGTAGCAGAATGGTAGCACAATAAAACAAACGAAGCAGATTTTCATTACATCCCATCAGATGAAATCTTTCTTACCATGGAGTGTTTTGTAATGATTCCTGTGGTATCCCCATGATAGATATAGACAGCTCCTCCATAGTCATCCTCTTTAGGCGCTCCTATGGCTACATCTAAAGAGCACAAAAAAAGAATGATTACATAAAAGATGGAGAAATATCTTTCATTAGCCTCCTGTTTACCTTAGACTGGCCTGTGCCTGGGAAACAAGCTCTAACAGGAAGATTAAATTAAGTGTTGTTAGTGACCATAAAATCTTGTGCGACCTCTGAGAAAGTGGAAAAAAAGCCTATAAAGTCTTGGCAACAGCGCTGGAACACCATGACCGGCCCATTTTTAGTAAAACGTTCATATATAGACTTCCTTTTTATAAGCCCAAACTATTCTATCTGATGTGGCGCAGCATGCCAGGAAGAAATCTGTATGGCACAATAGTTAATTTATGACACGTTGACAAAATTAAAGTTCTCTGATGATGGTCAAGTGTGGGATTTTACAGTAGCTCTTTAAAATTAAATGGTGCCTGTTAAGTTGTAAATAATCAGCCATCAGTCACAGAAAGTACGTCTGGCTCTTTCCACAATCCGACAGTGATGAGTTATCCTTCCCAGTTGCCATCTTTTGCTGCACACACACACGGCGTGCCAGGCTGAAAGCCTCGAGGGGCCTCCGCATTACAGATCCACACACTGAGATGAAACCGGGCAGAGGCTTCCAGCTGGAAGTGTGAGAGATGCAAAGTCAAGCCTTCAGAGCCAAAGCAAAAACGTGCCAGGAAAAAACAGACGGCGGCGTCATCGCACATCTCAAAGTGTGAGTGGATCATCTGGTTTGTGCCTTCATGGACTAGAGCCAATACAGTCCACATTTTCACGGTAATTAAAAAAAAGATTTGTAATCCCACCTAATGTTAACCCATAATGCTTTGCTTGTAGGTGGACGTTGGGTTTGAAACCGATAGTAGTTGGAAAAGTTTCCATTCTGTTATATATACAGTATTTCAATGAACCATTCAAGCTCTAATAACATGGAAACAAACAAACTTTATTCAGATGTTTAGTTTTAAATGATTTGTCCAAATTTATTTTCCTCAAACTTTGTTGTTAATGAAGCTTCAGAAAAATCTAAATATGAAACAAAACATATTACTTAGAATAAACAAGAGCACAGCATACGCCTGTCAACAAACTATATTACAGCAACACTGTAATCTGTAGCAATGGCCTGGACAAGCAAATACTTTGTATAACCTTCAATCTTGATTTGTGATGTTGAGCTTAGCGCTGAAGTGAGGAGAAGATTAATTCAGTTCAGTTCATTTTATTTATATAGCACCAAGTCACAAGAGAAGCCATCTAAGGGCACTGAACAGAAACATTCATTTATATAAAAAAAATAATTTAACATTATTTATCTGAGGAGCAGACAGCTTTGAGTTTAACTTTGTCGCAGAACTCTCATCTTGAGCAAGCATGAAGGCGACAGTGGAACGGAAAACTCCCTCATGAGGAAGAAACCTTTAGCAGAATCAGGCTCAGGACAAGCGGCCATCTCGCTGGGTTTGGTAGGAACAGATACACAATGGCAGGTCGAGAATCACGTTAAGATAGAAATAGTATCAAATGAAAAATATTCAATTTTAACAAATCAATTAAGCAAATGAGGTCAATTTGTCCTCATGTAGTTTAAGCCTATAGCAGCATAACAAGCCAACCCTAATTACAGGATTTATCAAAAAGTAAAGTCTTAAGCCCAGTCTGTAAACTGGACAATGTTTCAGCTTCACGGACAAAATCTGGAAGTTGGTTCCACAAGAGAGGAGCCTGATAACTGAAAGATCCTGCTTTTGCAAACTCTAGGAACCGCAAGTAAGTCTGCAGTCTGAGAGTGAAGTGCTCTGTTATGGAAAAAAAATGGAACAATAAGATCTGTAATTTAAGATGGACCTTGGTTTTTGAGGGCTTTGTAAGTTAGAAGTAAGATTTTGAATTCAATTCTGGATTTGATAGGGAGCCAATGGAGAGAAGTTAAAACTGGAGAGATATAATCTCTCCTACCAATTCCAGTTAAGACTCTGGCAGCAGCCTTTTGGATTAAATCAAGACTTTTTAAAGAAGTATTTGGACACACAGATAATAAATCATTGCAATAGTCCGGTCTAGACTACATGACACTCTGTCTAGTGGTGGTACAAATGTGTATCAAATTGTGTTAAAATACCTTAACTGGACCAGAAGTTATAAGCAGGACAAGAGAAAGTTTACGGATGTACAGACAGACAAATGAAGACTATACCACAATACATCCATCTTTGATGAGTGGATAAAGCAACAACAAAGTGCTTTTAAGTAAATTTCTACTAACCTTGATAACCATCGTCATCTATGTCTCCAATCGCTGCAAGGCACTCTCCGAAGTGGGCATTGAAAGCATTGTCCCCAGTCAGAACTGCACCCTCCTCCATCACCCCCTGAAGAAAATTAGAAAATCAGCTGTAACTTTTAAAATTAAAGGGCTAGCGTTCCTTGAAATAATACTTATCGCCCGCAACCTGTTGTGGACTAAGATCATTTGCTGAAAAGGAAAAGAGGTGTTGGTTTTTGGTCAAACTTGCAACTGAAGTTCCAATTATTTTCATATATTATCATAAGATTTTGCCAGATTGGCTTGCACTCAACACATGTGGTGAGGATGATGCTCAACTACTACCACATCAAGCGTTCACTCGATATTCTTCAATCCAACCAAATTATGGCCATTTTTATATTTTCTCAGGTTGATTAGCTGAGGCAACCATATTAGCCAGGGTTGAATCAAATATTATTGACTTGTTGATGCACATCCAGTGACTATGTGGAGAGTTTCAACAAAATCTGTCCAGTGGTTTATGAGAAATTTTACTAACAGAAAGGCATAATAGACGCCAATAGCTTAGACAAAGTTTTAACAAAAGACCTTGTGTCATCAGTTAGCACTCAGAGTATTTACTGGAAATCACTCTCAGCTACCACATCAAATTTCAACTCAATATATGTATAATTAGGTGAGTTGCAGCCATTTTTGAGTGCTAAGGTTGCTGAGGTCACTTGGTTGTTGTGGCCATTTTGAATAGGGTTGGCTCCAAACATGTATTAGTTCAATTCAGTTCAGTTTATTTATATAGCGCCAAGTCACAACAGAAGTCATCTCAGGGCACTGAACAGAAACATTCATATCTATAGAAGTAATTTAATAACATTATTTATCTGAGGAGCAGACTGCTTTGAGTCTAACTTCAATGCAGACTCTCATTTTGAGCAAGCACGAAGGCAACAGTGGAAAGGAAAAACTCCCTCATGATAACGAAACTTCCAGCAGAACCGGGCTCAGGACAAGCGGCCATCTGCTTTGACCCATTGGATTTGAGAGGAACAGGAAGGAGGGGAACAGATACACAATGGCAGGCTCAGAATCACGTTAAGATAGAAATAGTATGAAATGAAAACAATTCAATTTTAACAAATAATTTTAGTAAATGTGGTCTATTTGTCCTCCAGTAGTCTAAGCAGCATAACAAGTAAAGGAAAGTCTTAAGCCCAGTGTTAAAACTGGACAATGTGTCAGCCTTATGGACAGAAACTGGAAGTTGATTCCACAAGAGATGAGCCTGAGAACTGAAAGGTCTTCCTCCCATTCTGCTTTTGGGAACTCTAGGAACCGCAAGTAAGCCCTCAGTCTGAAAGTGAAGTGCTCTGTTAAGAAAATAAGGAACGATAAGATCACTAATATAAGATGGAGCTAGGTTGTTGAGGGCTTTGTAGGTTTGAAGCAAGATTTTGAATTCAATTCTGAATTTGACAGGGAGCCAATGGTTGTAGATCTACATCCAGTGATTGCTTTCTCAGAATTTAATTACACTCATGCAAACAGAATGTCTCATCCAAAATACAGAAAGTTTTATTTCTGCTAGTTGCTAATAAACATATTTGTAAATTTATCTGAGCATTATCAATGCTAATCTGCGTGTTATGGTGTCATGTTCCTTTCCACTCAGTCAGGTCCCACTCACGTTGCCCTTGCTGATGTACACAGACACTTGGCCTTCGTCCCGGAGCTGGCTGTGCATGGGTGCCCCCACCAGCAGGTCCGACAAGCCGTCCTGGTTCAGATCAACTGCACACAATGAGGAGCCAAAGTAAGAGCCCATCTGGAACCAAGTCGAGCCACAGAGCATTGGGTCAGATCACAGACAGTTCCTTGATACAAAAAAATCATCACACAAATGGCAATTTCACGGAATTACTTCCTGCTTTTTAAATCTCTTATAAGAATGTGAGTCTGTAGGGACAAATGTACTGCTCTGTGTCTAAACACTAACACAGACGTAAACAGTGTGACGGCAAAGAAATCAAAGCTGTTTGTCAAAGCTGATGTCTGTGTGGTTTCTGATATAAGAGAACAGAATTACAAGCACAAACCCTTTCTGGATCTTATTAAAAACAAAAAAAAAGATTATCTGAAATATTTGGAAATAAGATCACGAAAGAGGTCGTACCATTTTCCCTGAGGCTTGAAAACTCTTCACCAAAGACACGCCATCAATTTTGAAAACGTAAACCTGTCCAGGAGAGAAACAGAATCACTTCAGCACAGCAGAATGGAGAGGACTTGAATCCTACAGATGGACAAGGGTCAAAGGAATCATACTTTTCCAACGCCGTTGTGCTGAGGTGCCCCCGCAGCTATGTCAATTACATTAGGAGAGGAGAAGTGTCCTGCAGTCACAGCGTAGCCTAAAGACAAACACACAGTAATCAATTAAATCATATTAATGTTCAAAGTATCCCATTCAGGTCAAAGGTCTAGCATTCTTCGAATGAATGCATGTCACCCGCCACCTTTCACAACAGATATTTAAACTGAAATCATCTTATGAAATGTCTCGACTGGACTATTGCAATAGTTTGTTATCTGGATGCCCAACTACTTCTTTAAAAAGTCTTCAGATAATCCACAATGCTGCTGCCAGAGTCTTAACTGGAGTTAGTGGGAGAGATCATATCGCTCCAGTTTTAGCTTCTCTCCATTGGCTCCCTGTCAAGTACAGAATTTAATTCAAAATCTTACTTCTAACCTACAAAGCCCTCAACAACCTAGCTCCATCTTATATTTGAGATCGTATTGTTTCATATGTTCCTAACAGAACACTTCGCTCTCAGACTGCAGGCTTAATCACGGTCCCTAGAGTTTCCAAAAGCAGAATGGGAAGAAGATCTTTCAGGCTCTTTTCTTATGGAAACAACTTCCAGTTTTTGTCCATGAGGCCGGCACATTGTCCAGTTTACAGACTGGGCTTAAGACTTTCCTTTTTCATAAATCCTATAGTTAGGGTTGGCTTGTTATGCTGCCATAGGCTTAGACTACTGGAGGATAGACTGACCTCATTTCTTAAACGATTTGCTAAAATTGAAAAATTTTGATTTAATACTATTTCTATCTTAACATGTGATTCTTGACCTGCCATTGTGTATCTGTTCCTACCAAACCCAGCAAGATGGCCGCTTGTCCTGAGCCTGGTTCTGTTAAAGGTTTCTTCCTCATGAAGGAGTTTTTTCTTTCCACTGTCGCCTTCATGCTTACTCAAGATGAGAGTTTCTGTGATAGAGTTAAATTCAAAGCTGTCTGCTCCTCAGATAATTAATGTTAAATTATTATTTCTGTTCAGTGCCCTGAGATGACTTCTGTTGTGACTTGGTGCTATATAAATAAACTGAACTGAACTGAAATGAATTATGATGAGATGGAACAGAGCTGTTTTAAAACTGTAACGTAAGAGATATTTGTGGAGCTCAAAGAAATATTAAGGCAGACTTCCAGCTTCCATCACATCAAACTTTAGCCCAATATCTGACTGAGTTATAGCCATTTTGGTGTTTTCTAAGGTTGCTTAGCTGCGGATGCCATCTTGAATAGGGTTGTCTCCAAAATTTAATTAGTTGTCAATGTAAGGATTATTTTTTTGAGAGTTGCATTAAAATCCGTCTTCTGGTTGATGAGATATTTAAATACACACACAGAAACACACACAGACTTGGACCTAATTTTATCCAACAGTAAAATAATCATTCAGCATCATGTTCTCAGCGGCTCTCACCGAGGTAGCTGTATCTGTGGGAGTCAATGTTGTCTTTGTTCGGGCTGTAGAAGGTGTCAGACGTTAGATTGTACACCTTGATCGTCCCAGTCCAGTAGTACGAACCTGGGGCCCCCATCACAACCAGTTCCTGAAATAGAATAAACCAGTAGAAACATTAAATACACAAACAGCTGGAGGGAAGTCTGGTTAAGTAGCAGTCACAGGATGGTTGGTGCTGTCTACTGTGGAGCACAAATCCACATGGCGTGCAAACAGAAGCAAACTTTAGACGAGTGCTGCTCATCAGTTCAGTCAATTATACTCTGGGGGGAGATGAGGGGGTGTTGGGGGTCAGGGTTTACCACCAAGAACTTATGCTTCAAATAAATAAACTAACCAACAGAGTCAGGACCTTCCTCAGCAGGAAACCTTTCACCGCGCTGCGGCGTCAAACATCTGGGCACCACCCGGCACACGGAGCGAAGTTCAGACAAGGATAAGGCCTTAACAGTTGGATGTCTTTCCTTTTTTCTTTGTTGCGATTCCTCACATTCTTACATGGAGGGGGGTCTGTTCAAATGCTTTAACAGATCCACCCTGATGTTCTCCGTTGGTGACCTGGTCTCTGGTTTCAAAGGAGAACATTTGTTGTGGAATTTGGTGCTTTGAAAAAAATATTAAGAAAATATGTGCGGAGTTTAGCAACTAATAACAGTTTATTATTCTGAACAAAGCTTAATGTTGTTTTCTAACTATTTATCGCTATCTGCCATCGCCGAGAGGTGAGAACAGATTATGGTTTTTGCTTGTGATTTTTCAATTTTAATAAAACTTGCAGAGGTAATCATTGGACGGACATTTATAACTTGTAATTTTGGTGTGATCTTGATTCAAGATTACTGCCACAGTCAACTGAAGTTACAAACACAAACATGTCAATATAGATAATTTTCACAGATATTGAGCTAAAACAGGAAGTGGTGGAAGCTGAGAGTTATTTACAAAACATGACTTATTGCATGAAATGTGCCTAAAGTGGCTTTTAAGGTTTGACCAAAACACCTACAAGTTCAACAAAGTTCAGTCAGGTTTCTTTCTTTGTTGAAACATTTCATCCTTCATCCAAGGGACTTCATCAGTCCGAGGAGCCACAATAAACTCAGTCCCACAAGCAACATGTACCACGTACTGTACAACTGTACAACATGTACTGTACCCTGAAGCCCCGAGACAAGTGAAAAACCGCGAAATAGGAATAGTAGTACAAGTAGTAAGTAGTAGTTTATTTTAGCATTTATATATACATACATGCATGCATGCATGCATACATACATACATACATACATACATACATACATACATACATACATACATGTATGTATGTATGTATGTATGCATGCATGCATGTATGTATATATAAATGCTAAAATAAACTACTACTTACTACTTGTACTACTATTCCTATTTCGCGGTTTTTCACTTGTCTCGGGGCTTCAGGGTACAGATTCCCCATGATAAATGAGGGACTACTGTATCTGTAATGCCAATCTGCATCTTCACCGGCCAAGCAGTGGCGCTGCAGCAGTTCAACGCTGCTTGGTCGGCTTTCCTTGCTGCATCTGTGAAGATGTGGATTCAAGGTGTGGCCTGGGGTGGATCGCTGACTGCTTTGATGAGACAAGGTCACTACATGAGGCGGCACGGTGGCACTGTTGGTAGAGCTGCCAACTCTCAACAAGAAGGTCGCCAGATCGAATCCCGACCGGGGGAGCCTTTCTGGGTAGAATTTGCATGTTCTCTCTGTGCATGCGTGGGTTTTCTCCGGGTACTCCGGTTTCCTCCCACAGACCAAAAACATGCATGTTAGGCTGATTGGTAACTCTAAATTATCCCTAGGTGTGAGTGAGAGAGTGAATGGTTGTTTGTCTCTATGTGTCCCTGTGATGGAATTGAGACCTGTCCAGCATGTTCTTGCACAGTGATGGCTGGATATGGGAACCAGTGACCCAAAAGGAAAAAGCAGGTAAAGATAATGGATGGATGGGTCACTGCATGTGCCAATGGTTGCCTGATGGGGATGGTCTGCTGAGGGATTCTTTTAGTTGTCTGTTTTTATAATAATAAAAAAAGTTAAATGTTCATTCTTCATTTTATGTTGCGGTCCAACAAGCCGGGTCAAATTATAATCAGAAATGTGAAAGATTTTCTCATAACACAATATGACTTTTTAGTGTTTCACGAATAAAACTAGCGTATTGCTTGTCAATACAGCTGGAAGTGAGTTAAAGATGCAGTAAGTCATAATGAAAGCTAAACAAAAGGCATTAACGTGAAAAGACAATAAATAAAATAAAAAAGAATAAAATTCTGCCTCTTTTATATAAACAATAAAACTATGAATAAATTAATACTTTTACATGTCCTGGGGTCCAACATGCATCACTGTAGGTCTAAACTGAGCATCGCTGTAATCTGAGACAGGATTTACAGAGCGTGGCTCTCATGCCTAACATCAGGAAAGTATTACAATGCCAACATACTGAAAGCAAAATGGTTCTCCTTACATTCCTGCTTCATTGACTTATAAACATGTTTTAGACCGCAAACAGGGACAGAAAATATACTGTGTCCAAATATGATGTCATGTGCGACAAACAGAGCCACACAGCTTCAGAGAAAAGGAAAAGTTGTGCTTGTTTCACCGTTTTATCTCGCTGAACCACACTAAAGGTCACGTGAACCAGCCGCAGCCCTTCCTACTGTATCAGCAGAAGGAAACATAAGCTAACACTTATCAGAAGTCGATCAGTGCAGCGCCAGTGGCCCCTTTGATATAAATACTCGTGTAAATCCGACTGTAGAATTTGGATTTTCCACATCATTTGACATCTTAAACAACTGTGAAAGGAGAAAGTTCAGTTTGTCATGTAAAAAGTCTTTGCAAACAACCAGGAAAGTGGAGTGAAGGCTGGCAGAAAACTTTATTTATTTTTTTACAAATCATGTGAAGCTTCCAACATGTGGTGGTGTTAATGGTAATCACACTTTCTAATAAGAGAAAAAAATGAGTATTCTGAGGAAAAAAAGCACACAGTAAAGAAGACAACAGAATATTTTTCTGTATTTTTGAACATAAAATACATAAAGAATGAAATCAAAGGCCTAGCATTTAACGAGCTGCATGTCGCCCGCCGCCTTTCAAGTCATTGGTTCTGACTTAAGTGTTTCATGATGAGAAAAGATGGAATTGAAGTCACTTTGATCTATGACAATACCATTACTTGCTCATGTGTGACGCATGTGTTGAGGGTGACATTCAGCTACTACCATACCAAATTTTAGCTTGGTATCCATAAAGCTGACTGTTATAATCATTTTAATGTTAGATAAGGTTGATTAGCTGTAGTCACCATTTTGAATTTGGTTGATTTAAAAAATAAGGAGTTGCAGATGTACATCTAATGGTTACTTTCTGAAAGTTTCACTAAAATCTGTTCTGTGATTCATCAAATATTTTGCTAACAAACAGGGTTGATTCCAACAGTTAATACTAAAGTTTTAAGCGAAGATCACGTGAACAACTCTCAGCTACTACCACACCAAATTTTAGCTGAATATCTGTATTAATGGCTGAGTCACTGACATTTTTGTGTTTCTAAATTTAATTGATTATGGCAGCCATCTTGAATTAGGTTGGCCCCCATTGCTAATCAGTTGTAGATCAACATCTGCTGATTATTTCCTGAATGTTTTAATTAAAATCTATCTAATGTTTGCTTCCCCCCCCTGACTTTCTCTTGTGCAAGACGGACACATATCTTCTCTCTCTTGTCCTCCTACTGCTATTTTGCTCTCTGTCTTGTGTATGGGAGATCATATTTACACATCTTCCGAAACGTAAACTACTGTCATGGATCTGGCCAGCTGGACTTTCATCGCAATCGATAAAATGTTTTCAACAAAGCGTCAGGGTCCTGGAGAACCCTCATGCCCCGCTAAGACGCATGCGGCAAGATCTGATGTTCCTTTCCGTATTGTCTCCGGAGGATGCCAAAGATATTGGAATCATGATAGCAGGGTTTCTGCTTTTTGGCACAGGTGGATACCTATGTTATTGGATATTAAAGAAGATGGTGGCAACAGTTTTGGCCATGGCAAAGCTGCTGACCCTGTGTTTGGTTTGTGCTTCAAGCACTCAAAATCAGCTGACTTACAAGCTAAACCATAAGATTTGTGAGAATCGCAGGCCACTTGCGGCTTCTGGGACTCGCCAGCATGTTGGGGACGACCTTGGAGGGAGCTCATAAGCACGGACCAGTGGAATACCCACAAATCTGGCCATTTTGGATTAAAAGTACCATCAGAACTCAAGGCTGATGAGAAATAACAGTCTGCCTGAAAAAAATCAACAACTGTGGCTTATCTGAATCTGACTCCCTCATTTGGCCTCGAAGCAGGCCGACTTGGCAAAGTTCTCCGGGGATATGTGTAAACTAAGAAAACTCTATCACAAACCCGAGAACTTCTGTGAATGCTTATCAGAGCTGTACCGACTGACACCAACATCTTAACAGAACTATGGTCTATCTGGAAGTGCTTCATGGACAAATCTCACCGTCTTGTCGTCAAATACATATGTAATGTGTTATAAATGTGCTTTCTGGTAAAGTTTTTTGATGTCTTAAATCATGTCTTGATAAAGACAAGATGTGAAGAGATCTCTTTCTGTAATACCACTATCCTCTCCTCATGGCCTTTCCCCCTTTTCCTATCTAAAAAAATAAGAGGCCGCTCTCTTAGGAGCAGGAACAACGTGCACTCCACCCATTTTTCAGACAACTGTATGGACATAATCTCACTGTATTTCGGTACATTGATAATAAAGCTTATTCTGATAAGGTATTTTGCAACAGACTGACCGAGTTAAGTCCAAATAGGTAACAACTAAATTTTAGAAGGTCTAGATAAATTTAAACCTTTATCAAATCTGAAATATAAGACAATCTTCAGCACAAAGACTAATGGTACAGCGTTCTAAAGGTAATTACGAGTCTGTGATGAGGGTTCTGAGATTCAACATGTTATTTCAGTGAATGAAACTAGGATTTTACTCTGAAAGTTAACAGTTTATATTTAGGCACTTCCTGTCACCTGACAGAAAGTGTGCTGACAGACCAGCAATAAAACCCTTCAGAGGTTTCCATTCTCCCTCTACCCCCCTTGACTTTTTTCTTCTGGACTCTTTGGCGTGTGAGTCAGCTGGATTTTCTTTCCAAACTGACCCCCCCAACCCCCACCTTCCCCGACAGGGAACACAGCTCAACTCTCTCCTTCATCAACTATGATGTCTGTGTCCTGACAGTTGTTTCAGGGAAGTTCTCTGGAGAAAATTTGGATTTGACCATAATTCTTTGGTTCTTTTTGACACTAAAATCCATGAACTATTTGGACAGATTCTAATTACTGGACTACTAACTGCTACTAATGAAAATAAACTTATGTTTAAGGGTTAAGTATCAAAGGGAGAACAAAAAAGTAAAATTAGCTAAAAACTTTCTAAAAGCTAAAAGTAGCAAAAGGCTTTTTAAAAGTATGAATAAGCTAACTAGTAACTAAATGTAGCAAATGGCTTGCTAAAAGTAAAACTAACAAAAGTAAAATATCATAACACTAGCTTAAAAAAGTGTGAAAGGGCTAGGTAGAAGCTAAAAGGGTAACACTTTACAATAAGTCTAAAAAAGTTAAATCTGGTCCTCTGGACATTCAAAAAAACAAAACAAAGCAAAGCAACAAAAAAATGTAGAAACGTTTCGTCTCTCATCCGAGAGACTTCCTCAGTCTGAGGAGCTGTATTCAGCTCAGTCTCTTAAATAGCACCTTCTCAGAGTGGATCAACCAGTTTTGCTGCTGACAACCAAAACCAGCTGATCACATGCTCAAGAAGGACCATCAGCCTAACAATGGATCATTAGCACACTGATGGCTGTTTACTACTCACAGAGGGCTGAGTGATACTAGCAATCACAGCATTGTAAGAGGGGGACAGTTGAACCCGGAGGCCTCCACCCCTGTTTAATGATGGACGGTTTCTTTTCACAAAGATGGCCTCCTTTACTCTTCTCTCAAACCATCGTTCCTCTCTGTCCAGGATGTGAACATCTTCATCCTTGAAAGAGTGACCTCTAATAAGGATTGGCTGTATGTTCCCCAGTAAGTACTGATGAACTACCCATTAGCTCCTGATTCATTCCTCTTTGGTTTCCATGGTAATGACCCATTAGTTTTTGATTAGTTCTTCTTTGATTTCCATGGTAACTACTCATTAGTTCCTGATTAATTCCTCTTTGTTTCCCAGGTAACTAACCAGTAGTCCCCTAATAAGGATTGGCTGTATGTTCTCCAGTAAGTACTGATGAACTACCCATTAGCTCTTGATTTGTTCCTGATTTGTTCCTGAGGCGTTCCATAGTAGTTCTCTAGTAGTTAATCAAATTTTGTGTAGCTTATTATTATTATTATGATCTGTGTTACCGCTAAAGGAATAAATGAATGAGCTTTATTTAAAAAGGGACTATGTACAACTCAAACATAAATGTCACCATTTGATGCGTGGTGGCGCAGAGGTTTGAAGATGGGCTTGTGATTGAAAAGTCGTAGGTTCACCTCCCGGTACCGTCAACATCAAAATGTGGGTGGAAAAGGTGAAACACCCACACCTCTCTCCACCCTCATTCACCCCACTCTGGGCCCCTGAGCAAGGCCCTTAACCCCCACCATGTGCTCCCTAAACAGGTCTCTCTTGAAAATGAGTTCTCGTGGCTCAACGAGACTACCTGTATAAATAAAGGGTAAATGAAAAAAAAATAATGTACCAGATTATAGCAAAAGCTAATTCACATCTGCAGTCCCTTGAAAGCAGCAGGACTTGAAGATGAAAGCAGCAGAACTGTAGCTAAAAGCTAAAATCAGCACAAGGCAAAGGCAGAGCCAGTAGCTGAAGCTGACTTCAAAGAAAGCATGTTTTTGCAACAATTAAGGAGATTTCAGTGTTTTCTGTCGGGAATTTTTTTTTATATATATATATATATAAATAAAGTTAAATATTTCAAAACATAATGTTAGAAGTTACAAAAACCAAACGTCAAAGCACCCATGTGAATGATCAAGCATATGGAAACATGAGGAGCTATGATGGCACAAAGTAGGCAGTACTTAAAAAATAAATGGTTTGATTTTCCAAAAGAAAATTGAAGAAACGTCACCGAGCTTCAGACAACAGAGATTAAACAAACGAGTGGCTTAAAATTTGACAGAGGGAAACAAGGAGTTTGGTTTGTTACGAAGAGAAACAAGCGTGGTTACTGACCTCTGTGAAAACTCCTGCTATCCCAGCTTGGCACGAGCCGTGCTCTTCCCCGTACTTCTGCTTATAGTCTGCAAGAAAAAACAAACCACAAATTATTTCACTGTGTGCTCGAGCCAGCATTTACTAGAGTTTTTCCTGCATTCCATATGGAGCTAGTCAAAGGCCCGGTCCCATCCAAGAGGAATCCGGGGGCAGGAGGTAGACTGAAGGAGAGGGCTTCAACACAGTCTTTAACAAAGCAGCGTGCTTGGGTTACAAAAACATTGAGCTTGGATCTGTGCAGAATGCTGTAAATAAGAATATTAAAGGGAGTCAGACTTTATCAACAGCTGCTGACAACAAAAGCTGGTGAGGGATGTGCAGCGCTGACCTGCACAGCTCAGGTGCTCGGCAGCCTTTGATTATTATTATATTACATTTCCTTCACCTTCTGTCTTTTTAATTCTTGTTTCAGAGGTTGATTCTTGATTTCAATGCATAAATATGAGCTACTGCTAATTCCCCATGACACATTATTATGATTAATATTTATTAATTTGTGCATTAACGACTTGTTATATTAGATATGCAAAAGAAAAAATGTGTTTCAGTACAAAAATGTTTCCTCAAATGAACCTAATTTCTACACAGCATTACCTTATATAAGTGGTGTGTTTGTGGACAAGTGTCTCAAAGGACAAAGGTTCTGTTGGACAGATGCTCCCCTGCTGAACACAGATTACAGACCAGAGGCTGAACTCTGCCTTTGCAGTGATGGTGCGGGTTACTGAGATAATGTGCCATGATAGGGAAGCCGGGGTTGTGGACCCCATGAGACATTAGGTATCAGTAGACTGCTGTCCCATGCAGCCCTGCTCCACAGATTCAGGAAGTCTTTTGTCCCTCAAGCCATCAGACTGTTCAACTCCTCCCCGTACAGTAAAAATAGAGCCTGCGGCACCCTGGACACTTATGTATGTATATTTACATGTACATATGCATATGTATATAACATGTATGTGTATTTATGTATACATATATATAGGTTGATCATAAATGTACTGTAGTACTCCACTTTGTGCATGTGCATATTGTCTTTTTCCTAATTTGTGTATTCTGCTTCTTTTTTGATTATTTTATATGTATTTTTTTCTGCATTACTAGAACATTGCTACTAGATACCTCAAATTTCCCCCTGGAATTAATACAATCTATCTATATATCTAGCTATCTATTACAAAATTATCACAGGGATGAGAAAATTAAAAACTAGTTTTTAGTTGTGCACCTACAATAAATACTTGGGTTTAATTTGTAAATATTGAGTCAGCATTCAGTATACATTTAGCTATTTAGCCATTCAGGTGTCCAAATGTTCAGCTTGTTCATCACATGGCTGTGACTTTATATTTATTTTAACATTAATTATATTTTGTCTCAAAGAAATGCATTAATTTGACATTCCTACAAAATATTTTATAATACTTTGAAATCTATTTCATTATGTTTGCTTTATTTTGTAGCTTTTCGTTGCTGTTTTGCTAATTTTACTTACGGTTCTACTGGTTTTAGCTTTTAGTTAATGTTCTGTTGGTTTTAGCTTTTAGCCACTTACCTGAGAATTTTAGCTTTCAGCTACTGTTTTTTGGGTTTAGCTTTCAGTTATTATTCTGCTGGTTTTATCTTTTAGCCATTTACCTAATCATTTTACCTTTCAGCTACTGTTCTACTGGATTTTAGCTTTTAGTGAGTTTTCTGACAACATTAGCTTTTAGCAACAGCTGTGGTCGTTTTAGCATTTAGCCATTGTTTTGCTAGTTTTAGCTTTTAACTACTGTTCAACTGGATTTAGCTTTCAGCAACTTTTCTAAAAGTTTTTGCTTTCAGCTACAGATTTACTGGTTTTAGAATTTTAGTTAATATTTAGCTAGTCTTAGCTTTTAGTTACTTTTCTGTTGGGTTTAGCTTTTAGCCACATCTGTTAGTTTTACTTTCACTTATTGTGCTGCAAGTTTTAGCTTCGGCTAATTTTTTGCTGCTTTAGTTTTTAGTTATCGTTTTACTGTTTTAGCTGTTATAGCTTCACTCTCCTAGTTTTAGTTTAGCTGCTGATTTTAGACTTTGGATTTTGTTTTGCTTATTCTAGCTTCTGTTCTGGTTGTTTTACTGTAACTTGAACAATTCAGTTCTTTAACAAATTCAACAACGTCTTTAAAAATTTTAAGCCAAGTCATTGAGCACTTATCGGTCTTTTGGCTTTTTCACAGAAAATGCAAGTTCTTTTATTTTGTTAGGAGAAACTATCATTTCCTTCCTCAAAATTCTTGTGCACACCAAAGTCAAATTGCATGCTCGCTCTAATTTAGGACAAAAAGACTTCCCTGTCCCTGCTTCCAAATGTCAAGTCAAGATGTTCCATCTGTGATATTTGAGAGTGGAATGGAGGTTTCAAACAACCAACTTCTTCTGTACCTTCATAACAAGGTATGAGCGGTTTCGTCCTGCCCTGAAGCGTTGCAGGGATCACAGAGCAGTATCCGTGAGGAAGGATGTGTTCCGAGTTGTAGTAGATGTTTTTCCAGCGGTGAGCACAAGCCTGCAAGAGAAAAACAGGACAGACAGGAGCTCATTTAGTAAACACGAACATATCAGAGCATAGGCAGGCCTTCTTCAACCACGCTGACGGTCTCAGCTGTTTCTTCCTGGCTGAGCTGGAGTCAGAACGTCTCTGTGGCTGTCAAATGATTGTCAGTGGGACAGGGGGAATTAAAAGCCCTCCATATCCCCCTGACCATACTATAACAGCCACGGTCTGTGGTGTGAATATCTCCGATGCAGCCTGAGGTCTGTGTTCGCCGAGCAGCTCCTCAAATGGCAAACTGGAAGAGCCACTAGTTCAGAACCAGCATGAACAAAAAAAAAAAAAAAAACGACTCAAAGACTAAACTTCTACTGCATCACAATGTTCCTTAAAGTGACACTGAGCAGTTCTAAAACAATATTTTCCAAAATGAAACACTCCACAGTTCGATAACAAAGCAGGATAATAAAAGTTGGGATTCTGAAGTCGTGCAAACATAAATGTGTGATTGTGGTAATAAGTGAGGTCCCTGGGGGGATTAGTGGGGAGGCTCCTGTGGCTCTGGGGACAGTTCTGGATGCCTATGTGCAGACAAAGTCCACTTAAATTCCACCCAAAACCCCAAATCCTCCCGTTTCCCCCAACAGACCGACAGAAATACAAAATGCAGCCGTTTCACATGGAGTTGAGGGCTCAGCAGAACGGGAGCAAAAACACTCATCACGTGACTCCAGGAGCAAGACGCTATGCTGAGAACCACTGAAACAGTGGTGCGTTGGAATGGCCAGTCCAGCACAGTCTATGCTAACAAGATGAGAAGCTGGGCGGCCATGTTGCTGGGAGCTACATGGGCATACTGCAGGAATGGCAGCAGACCATAAATGTCTTAATAAAAAAAGCTAAACTTATTGAAGGAGCACAATTTTTATCAATAATTGTTGTATTTATTGATTTTTTTTTAAATATAGTGTAATATAATCCTATTTTATCCTTTGACTATCTTATTAGGTAGGAAAATAGTTTGGATGCTCGGTTTAGTAAATTACAAAACAGAAAAATAAATCCAAAGTGTGTTGATTTTACTGCAAACAGACTGCGATTTAATATTTTTCATAAAATAAATTTGCACTGTGCTAGCTAATTGAAAATATAACGTCAACGTTAATGTCACATTTTTTTCCAAACAATAATCTATTGGACCGTTTTTTTATGAGCGAAACATGTGCAAAATTGTGAACTAGCATTTAGGCTAGACAAAAACTAAATACTGAAGCGTTTCTCATTAAAAGTTTAAATATTTTCAGAAGTATGAGGAAAAAGACTAAATTGTGGTGGCGGGCCCAATTCCAGTTTCAAGTACTTGTTCTTGTACTCATAAAAACACCACAATACTTCAGACCGATACCACTTTTATGTTTGGTGACATCATTTTCTCTTCCACTTCACAAGTAACTGAGAACAATAAATAAATAAATAATCTGTAGTTTGTAGATATTTTTAAGATAAACACAGGTGAAGTGAAGACAGCAGACTGTTTACTGTCATCTTAATACAAGAAATGTGTTTCTAAAGTCATTGTGTAACGTTTAAGCTGAACCTGAAGCTGTTAGGCTCATAAATCCATAATCAGGGTAATCACTGTAAGAAAAAAAATCACTGTAATGCATGTATGTAATGTAGTGCTGCTGATCATCCATGCTGCTGATTTCATGCTGCTGATTATCTCATGCTGCTGTATTCATTCATACCCATCTACTCACTACAGACTCATGTTCAGGCTGCTGTTTATATACCATATTATTTTACATTATTAGCGTATTGTTTGGCATTTGTTTAGTTTATATCTTAGATCCTTATACTGTATATTGTTTATTTTATACTTTTGCTGTTTTTGAGTATAACTAGGATCCTGAGTACACAATTTCATTCCACCTCATGTACCACGTGATGCAAATGACAATAAAGATACTTGAACTTGAGTTTAAGTACTAACTTGCTATCAGTACTCGGTACCAAAACTAAAGTACTTTTACTTGTATTTAGTCTGTAAAACTCTAGTATCGGGACACCCCTGCTAAATTATATGGGTTTAAGTTCTTAGTCGAAGTGTAATCAACTAGTAACAGAGCTTTAGACTACGTAGGCATGTTAAGTGTTTAATTATCATATTATCTGCCATATATGTTGCTGTTTTTTGCATAGATTTGCCAGTTCTGCAACTTATAGTTGTTTTTCTATATTCATAACGCAATTTTTGACTAACGCTTTAAACGTTCATTCACACTGACATGAACCAGAGAAAACATTACCATTTGCAGCCACTAGAGGTGCGAGAGGGCCCTCTAGCCTTTTGACAACTACCAGTAGGCATATATGTTGTTCCTGTACCGCTACACCTTTGTTATAATGTCGAACAAACAAATAATTGTTTGAAGTGTTAATCTTGTTAAATTTCAAAGACTGCAACAGCGAGTCCTCCCATGTGCGCTCCCGCGGCCGCCAATCGATTTTTGGCACGACATCGGCCCACGTTTCCTAGGGGTCAACGATGGTGCATAATAAACACAACTTATACTCCGAAGAAACTTGTATGCAGGAAAATACGATCTTAAAATGATGATATGTTTGGGTTTATCTAGAATGATTACGGCCACGGTAGTGGTTGTGTGCTGGGTTCGCAATTTTCCCCTGGTGGGTGGCTCATTACAGAATAATCTTGTATCCTATTTTCATATTATAGATCATTTTTGTATAAATAAGTAAATTGAGACTATTTTATGTGTTTTTGGACTGGTGCACAAGGAATTAACAATGAGTGGCTTACATGGTGGTGCATATGACACCTAGCAAGATGGCGGCCAAAACTTTTGCCTAGCATTGTTAGTAACCACTCCTGCACATTTCTATTTCAACGCAGAGAACCAACTGTTTGAACAACTGACGTTACATCGACACGTCCTCTAGAGCGCTTTCACCGTTAGTTTTCTGCTCCGTTTTAAAGAGCTCTGTCGCCACAAACAAGGCTTTCACTGAAAGCCCAGATGAAATCATCACCGTCCACATCTGCCAAGCAGCCGTTTTCCTCTGCTGAGTCTATTCAAATGAGACTAAGAGAGAAAAAAAGCCTCTGTGCTTTAGAAAAAGCGCTGCAGCGCGTGGCTTTGGAGAGCCGCCTCCTCCGTTTTACTGCAAATCCTGTCAAAAAGATTTTTGTTACAACTCTGCGCCCACATGCCTGAGACTGACAACTCCAAGAATCACTCAGTGTGTTTTTGACAGACTGGCTGATAAGTAAAGCTAAGGGTTTGAAAATGAAGCCAGCACATTCCATTAAGGTATAAAAACACTCTGAAAAGAACAGGAGCTGGATGTTGTTTGAGAGGCAAATTCCTTTAGATAGTTTCAAATCAATCAGCAACAGATTTGTGAAGAAATGCATCCGTCATTTTCAATAATGCCCAGAATCACCAGAAGGTTGCAAAGTGCCCTGCAAAGCCCAGAGGATTGTTCACCCCCCACCACAGGAGGCAGGGGGGTTAATATTTAATGAAAAGTTAGATGGGACCACCGCTGTGGGGCTGAAGCCTAAACAAACTCTGACAGCTGTCATGTGATCTCTGTGCAAACACGTCACCAAGCTCGTCTGGGATCAGCACCGCTGCGACGTCTTTAAAACGAGCTCCGTCTTTATCGCCCGCCGCCAAAAGAGAAGTGGTCACGTTCTTACTGTTATCAAAAAAGCCCCCTTATAAATCCCTGAACATATTTTGACAAAACTTTCAGAAAAAAAAAAATTTGATTTACATCTACAGCTAACTTTTAAAGTGAACTCGATTCAAGATGGTTGCCACAGCTCATCAACCTTAGGAATGGGTATAACTTAGACAATTTTACAGATATTGAGCTAAGGTTTGCTATGGTAGTTGCATTCACAACTTGTAATCACAACTTGCACTCTACGCTAATTGACCATGAGATCTTTGTTTTAAACTTTGGCAAAAACTATTAGATTTAACTCTGCCTGTCTCTTAGCAATATTTAATATGAACCATCAAAAAGACTTAAATGAAACGTTTAGGAAGTTATCCTCGGATGTACATCTACAAATGATTAACGTTGGGAGCTAATCCAATTCGAGATGGTGACCTTAGAAAACACAAACATGGCTATAACTTGTCATGACTAAGGGGTCAGATGAAGAGCGGTTCAAAAACCTTAATGGACCAACAACAGGAGACGTCAGGATACCTTACCTAGAAGAGGGAGACTGGGATACTTCCCTGGAGCCAGGCCTGGTGGGGGAGCTTGCTGGCAAATGCCTGGTGGATCGAGCCTTGGCTTCTGGGGCTCGGTCAGGCCAAGCCAGAGGAAATGTCAGGAAGCCACCTGCCCACCACCTGTGGGAAGGTCTGTCAGTGTTGGGTGCAGAGCAGGCCGGTTAGCAGGTGAGGGGTGTCCCATGTCTATTCTTGGCAGCACAGACTAGTTCTATGGACTTGGAACATTAACTCACTGGTGGGTAAGGAGCTGGAGCTTGTGTGTGAAGCTGATCAACTAGATGTAGTTGGGGCCACTTCACAGCTTGGGCTCTGGAGCCCAAATTCTGGAGAGAGGCTGGGCTCTTCTATTCTGGAGTTGCCCAGGGAGGGAGGCGTTGGGTGGGTGTGGGGTTACTCACAAGCTTCCGGCTGAATGTCTTGGTGTTGGAGTTTTCCCCAGTGAACAAGAGGGTTGCTGAGAGAGCAGCTTTGGGCTGCAGGATGGAAGGTTCTGACTGTTGTTTGTGCTTGTACACCAAACACCAGTTCAGATTACCCAGTCTTTCTGGAGTCTCTGAATGGTGTTCTCGACTGAATGTGGGTGTACAAAGTAATACCCCCTCCGAGTCTAGGCGTCTTGTTCACAAGTGACTGGAGGAGATGGATCAAAGGACTGGGGCCTCGTCCTCAGTAATGATGGTATTAATTTGGTCTGTTGCGGTGAAGAAAAAGCTGAGTCAAAAGGCAAAGCTCTCAATTTACTGGTCTGTCTTTGTTCCAACCCTCACCTATGGTCATGAGGTTTGGATCATGAACGAAAGAATAAGATCTCGGATACAAACGGCTGAAATGGGCTTCCTTTGCAGGGTGGCTGGGCTCAGCCTGGTGAGGAGCGCCGTCCTCTGGAGGGAGCTCAAAGTAGAGCGGCTGCTCCTCTGCATTGAAAGGCGTCTGTTGAGGTGGTTCGGGCATCTAATTAGGCTTCATGGACGCCTTCCTTTAGCAGTTTTCTGGGCAAGTCCCATTGATAGGAGGCCCCGGGGAAGACCCAGAAAACACCGGAGGGATTGTGTATCTGCTCTGGCCTGGAAACGCCTTGAGGTTCCCCCAAGACAAACTAGAAAATGTCGCTGGGGAGAGTGATATCTGGGTTTCTCTCCTGGGCCTGTTGCCTCTGTGACCTGACTACGGATACTGTAAGTGTAAGAGATGAAAATGAAGGTGAAGATCCCGTGTCCTTTACTTGTTTATTTTATCGTAAAACACTTTGGTTGACCTTGTTGCTGTTTTTAAGCGCTCTATAAATGAAGTGACATGGCATATTTCAGTTAATTTTACAGATATTGGGCTAAGATTTGCTGAGGTCGTGGCTGAGAGTCGTTCACAACATGTATTTAAGTGTGACATCTTGTGATATCACATAAGATCACACAGTGTTTATTGTAACAAACTACTGACTTTTCACAAACTCTGTTTTCCTGTTTCATCCAGTTCCACACACAAGGTAAAGGTTTGACAGAAACCTGTAAACACACAGCTGTGTCAAAATGAGTCATTTTCAGTTGTTCTTCCAGCTTCAAATTATGCAAAAAGTCATTAAGGATTAAAAAATGAACTTTTTTTCTTCTCTTAGTGCCTGGCGATGCTTGTAAGCTCAGAGACCACAGGGGAGTGATGTTGGGACCAGTTGTGGTTCAACAGTGTGGTTCAGACGAGGACTGTTGTAACAATGATGTGGGTAAAACTCTGTTTTTACGACGGTTAAATACACAGCTGAGGGAACTTTAGTTCCGTGTCCCTGAACTCACCAGGATTTGCCCGTTCACTCTGTCCTGGCGGGCCAGGCTGACCCCCATCCACTCATCGTCCCTGTCTCCTTGGCACGTCTTCCCACACGACTCCCTCAGCCTGTTTCCTGAAAGACAATGAGAAAAGTCTCTAGACGTCCAGTTGGCAGGACACAAGGGCAATTAACTTCTGAATGTGCAAAGGATTTTTACACATGACAGTTTGAAATACTGCAGATCAAACACTTCTCATTAACGCCCAAGTACTTTGATCTGCATATTGAGGAACGCTTTAGAACCAAATGTAATGAGAAATTTCATAACAGAGGGTGAAAATGCTTCATGCTATCCACATGTTTAAATTTATTTATTATGCATTACCATCAGAAACCTGATTGGTCCAATTTATCTGCAGCCGTACAGATTTATATAGTCACAAGAAGATTCCTGCAGCAGATCCACAGAAGCATCATCTCCACATTCCACAATCAGTCTGAGTCACAGACTGAAAAACGGGAGCCGAAGGTTCACCGAGATATCAGCTACTATAAAGACGTCTGCACTGAGGAGAACCTGAGGTCACATTAAACGCTCATTTTATTTATTTATTTTTAATTACATTTACTTTGAAGTATTTGTCAAAAAGATATTTTACGACCGAGGGTGCAACCATGGGGGCGGGAGCAATTGTCATGCTCAACACTTGGTCCAAGGATTTTTGCAAGAGCTTTGTTTAAAGCTGTGACTTGCAAGACAGTGGGCGGTATTCATTTTTTCAAAGATGATTATTTAATTTTGAATATGAATTATAGGAGGATATGCATCATTGAGTTGAGTATTGTGCTGTTCCTAATTAGTTACCTTGGTAAACTGCCACTAAAATCCCCACAATGTTTCCACCCGGGAATTCACACTGACCCAAAACAGCACAAAGTTTAAAGGATTTATTGGCCAATAAAATTTGTATTAAAAAAGACTGGTTGAAAATATAAAAGTCCAAGAATTAAAACGTCTGTCAACTGAATAAAAACATTTTTCAATGGATAAAAGTTTAAAAGCGTCTCGTGATTTGTTGCGCGGAGTTTGGGAAATCGGAGAAGAAGCGATGATGGGACTCCGCTGGTTTTAAGGGTTTGAGACTTTTATCCATATTTAAAATTATTTACAACATTTACCATTGCTTACATGGATTCTGTTGCAAATGATGCATTGTAACCTCTGTACTGTCTGCAAGCTGCTCAGGAATGGCGAAACCCCCCCCCCCCAAGGAAACATTACGGGCGTTTTAATAAAGTGACGCCCCCACCATCCGGCTGTGACTTCAAAAACAGAAGCAGGATCATATCAGAAGGCTCTAACTCCTTTAATGCAGCAGTTTTCAAATAATGTACAACAACTTAATAACATTTCTGAATTTATCTTATGGTTTTGGGTTTTGGTGTGCCACCCAATGATTACCAAAGCCCCCCATATATGCCTCCATTAGGTGCATACAACAATAAAACATTCTTATATGCCTCCATTAGGTGCATACAACAATAAAACATTCTGTTAAGATTTGTTGGTGAGTTTTAAACCTTATTTAAATGTATAATAAACTTCATATACGGAGAAGTCTTTTTTTTGAAAGCATATCCAAGAAACAAAAGCAGAAGTGTTTCTGAAAACTTTTAGATTAATTTTTCTTTTGATGGTGGAGACTGTGAATCAAATATAATGATCTGTTTCTATAAAAGTGAATAACTCATATAGTCTTTGTTTGTTTGCTTAGAGTTATTTTTGGTTACACATTGACTGAGCACAGAGTTAATATTAAAGCCTGCACCCTGTCCTTCTTGACCACAAGAACAGAGCAGTGATGTGGGGTGCGTTTCAAAAGCACAACTTCTTTTGGCTCACTTGCTTGGAAAATATTAGTAGAAGCATAAATCATATTAGGCAAATATATTTATGAACCCTTGCACACAGAACCCCTCTTGTGTTTTGCATGTCGCTGAAGCTAAGAGCAGAATAAGGGCGCATTATTCTAATAAAACAAAACAGATGCCTGGGGAGGGGAGTTTGCGCAAAGGGTGGGCAAGAAAGAGCAGCATGAGTGTGGACTCACAGATCCTGCAGTGAACTGAGTGTGTGTCAGTGTGTGTTGTGTTGAAGCTGCGGGTTTGTGGTGACTGACCTCTTCCCAGATCCATCTCTGTGCAGCGCCGCTCCGGGTTGCTGTGGACCCGACACTTAAACACGGCTCCAGGGGAGCGCACAGAGCTGCTAAAGGAAGAGTTTGCCTTGGGCGCTCCCACTATGACCCTGCAGACATGACGAGGATGGAAGGCACAAACTTGTAAGAAAACTTGAAATAAACCCTCCTTTTTGCCTAAAGGGAACCGTGTGCTTCACATTATTTTTAGGGAGTGGAAGCAAATCAAGCTGACATATTTAATCCAGCCTAAAAAGCTTCACCACTGAGAGAAAAACGAGCTCCTTTCCATGAACTCCTAAACACGAGACTCACCAGCGCGTGTTGTCATGATAATGCTCCAAAACAGAGTAGCCAAAGAAACTTGAGTTTGGTCCGCGGAACACCAAAGGGTGTTCCAAGTCTATATTGTAGGAATAAGCCAGTGAAAAGGAGAGATAGACGTAAAAAACTTGATGTGCTCCCGTTTGGCGTCTTAGCAGAGGAGCCATCCCTTTGCGCACCGTGCGTAATAACGCGCCTAAAGTGTCCAAAAGTAGGAAAAACAAGAAGAAGAAGGGTCTGCCTGCTCCTGAGGGGTCTGGCTTCTAGCAGCGGTCGATCAGGTGCTTCCTCCTCGTTCAGCTCTTCATTTAGTTTGAGATGATGAGAGGAAGGTGACGGTTAACGGTCCGGGGAATAAAACGTGCGTCAGCTCTTCTCCATTCTGGGTCAGTCTGAGGAAGTTGTTGTCCAGCCTCCGTGTGTCGCCGAGAGAAAAGCAGCAAGTCAAGTCCACGAACTGGCTCCTGGAAACAAGAGCCGTTTCCCTTCAAATAAAAGCTTTGGTGTCTAATTAAGACGCTGAAGTAAAAGTTGGGGTTTTTAGGGTGAAGGCTCAAACCAGTGGAGCGGTCGTTTCAGTGTGGCCCACGGACACTCAGAACACGGTCATGGAGAGACTCGAATGGGGTTTTTGAGGCGCAGAGCATCACATTTCAGCTGTGGGCTTTATTGGGGCTCAACCCACCCGAAGTGGAAGAGGAGGGCGCACTCCTGCCACCTAACGGTCTCTGCTCTCAATGAACACAACTTCATTTCCTTATTAAAAAAAAAACGTGATTCTCTTACATCAATTCAATTCCAACCAATGTCACGTGAATAATCATATTATATTGTGCATACACATCTTCCAAAATGCTTCATTCCTCATTTCTGAAAATATGGGGTGGTTTAAATGTTTTGCACAAAGTTTTTGGTTTTCTGTCCTTTCCTGTGCTTTGACTGGACACCCACTCAGACGTTTTTTTTTTTTTTAAATATCAATAATTTATTTCAGATTAATCACTTAATGTGTAGTTCAACATCAGAGTTGTTTCTTTAGAAATTGAGCTGAACATGTAAAAACTTTTCTTAGCTGATCTTGAACCTGCAGATTGTTGCAGGCAAGCAGTCTGTGTAAAGTCTTCAGGGAAACTTTAAGAGAAAAATAGAATTAACACCATAGTTCATGTTCAGTAATCCAGGTATGGAATCCAACGGTGTTCAATCAGGTCATCTGGATGGTTTCTTTTTTTTAAACTGAGACGTTTCGTCCTTCATACAAAGGTCTTCTTCAATTTGAGGAGACACCGAGCAAACTGATGTCCACAAACATCATACTCCATAGTGGGAAAACAAAACGTTTGCTGGTGCTAAGATGGCCTCCGGGGCCTGCCCTCTCCTCCGTCAACCTCTGAGACAGTCATGCCAAAGTGGTTCAAAACACCAAAGTCCATGCTCAATAATCCAGGTATAAAATCCAACAGTGTTCAGTCTGGTCATCTGACACAATCTTTGGTGTTTAGAACCACTTTGGCATGACTGTCTCAGAGAAGTTGACAGGGAAGAGGGCGGGCCCAGAGACCATCTTAGCACCAGCAAACTGTTTTTTTACACAATGGAGTATGATGTTTGTGGAAATCGTTTTTTTTTTTGGTGGCTCCTCTAATCAAATAAGTTATTTGGATGAAGGAAGAAACTTCTCGGCAAAAAAAAAAAAAAAAAGAAACTATCCAATGACTTGAAATTGTTGGATAGACCAATTAAATGTTTTGGGTACACTTTTGGACATCAATATTTATTTGGCAACTATATAAAATACAGCCTAGTACTTGGTAAGTACACAGTAAGCAGTCACTACAATACAGCTCAGTCCCTGTAGAGAACCAGGATGTATTTGTATTGCATTAGTTCTATATTCTGTCTACATATACCTGCACATTTATAATTTTAATGAAGCAGTAAAACTCATGCTCACATCAGAGCAGTCTCTTAGTTTAGCCACAGCTCTCAGAATCGTAGACGTCAATATTAAAGAAAAAAGGAAACTGTTAAATTTATTGTGCACAATCATTGCCTTAAGCTCCCAGGCAGCATCAGCTGAGAGGATTCAAATGATTGATTTCCTTCTGGCACAGTTCTCAGAGCTGTAAAAATGGCTATTTTTTCAAACTAAATATGAACGAAGTGACAAAATAAATACAGATCCCTGGCCCGTTTGGAAAAAAGTTCAATTAAGAACAAACTGAAGATGTTCTTCACCGCTTTCATCACTAATTTTTGCACATTTCCTTAAAGATCATTGACCTGTACGAGTACAAAACAGACAAGTTGTTGGATTTTTACAAAACTGAAAAGCGACAAAGATGAAGTGACAAGAAAAGTTTTTAATAGTGTTTTTAATTAGTCCGAAAATCCAAAGCAAATCAGTAAAATGCCCTAAATTACAGTTTTCATCCTATAATACAATTTACACTTCTTTGTTTTGACTTTTTCAGTCAGTTTCAAAATACAAAGCGTAGAAAAAAGTGTTGAACAAACGAGGTCCAGAATCATAATCTGATGAGTGCACAGTTAAAGGGTCATTTACACTTTTACACAGGAAGTGATTTAGACAAAAGCGCAACACAAACACACACAAACCCATAAAATCAACCGAGCATTATCATCAGTATATGATATTTATTGCACAAGCCAAGTCTGTGTGAACACAACCTAACAAGAAAACCATTTATCCTTATCTAAAATATAAACTTAACTTTAAAGTATAAGTAGATTATGGAAGATTTATGCGTTTCTGTCAAAACCTTTTAATTCCCTCCTCACACACACTTATGCTCCAGATTCTGCTCACGCACACACACACACACGCACACAACGACAAGATACTGAGGAGCTTGATATAATTCATGGCGGTCTTTCCCATCAGCAGAAGCAGCAGATAATCAAGAAGTTCCCAAATCAAAGACTCATCGTAACCAAGGCTGTGGAGACATAAAAAATAAATAAAATGTATGGAAAAACAAAGATCTGAGCTGTTAAAAAAGGACTCTGTCATCGATGCTTACAGCAGCTTTCGAGTCTTCTTTGTCCAAAACCTTTTGCGCTTGGTCTGCAGGAAACTTGAGCATAGAGGTAATCACTTTGGCCATCGTCTGCAGAGAGAAAGAGTCAAAAGAAGCTCTCGTTAAAAGGACGTTTCATCTACAAGTTTTTTTATTATCTACCATCTTCCTGACCATGTTTGGTAACCGCTACCTCCGACACATCACAAAATCAACCGAGTTCCTCTGAGACAATTAAAGCCTAACGAGACAAAGAACGAAAAAATAAAAAAGGATGAAAATTATCTCCATAATCAACTCCAGGCCCATCTGCCACTGAGCATACATTTCCCCATAAACTCGGGGGATAATCAGAAACAGGGCTGCTGTGTATGAAACCCAACCACTCAGCTACCATGAAACAAGGCCGGTGTGGCTTTGAATGGCAATCTGTGTCATGCAGGATGCATGCGCTTTGCAGGCAGCCTGGAGGACATCCTCCACACAGGGGGAGGTCTGCCGCGCTGCTATAAAGACCGAGTGTTTGCTGAGGAACGGGAAAAATCCTGCTGACTTTAGGACCTTGTCCACAGCTCAGTTCATTATGAAGATCGTTGTTAATCATCATTACCAAGACTGAACACAACATGACTTTTACATGGAAGCCTAAACGTTCTTACGATCCGTGAAGGCCACTTCGGACTTACTCTCCAACATCATCAGCTGCTTTTCTCATTCGATGACAGTATAATTTGGTTTAGGACAGGGCTATTAAATAAAACTGCGGGGGGGGGGGGGGGGGGGGGGGGGGGCACAGCTTCTGAAATCCAGCAGCTCAGGGGCCGGACATCCAGCAATTAAACCAAGTATTACAATGTTAAAATTGTTTGTTTGATTGCATTGAATCATAAATGCAATAAACAGAACCCCCTCCCCGCATTTTTTTTTTTTTTTAATGAACTCATTGGTGGGCCGGATGGAAGTTACCCGCGGGGCGCCAGTTGAATAGCACTGGTTTAGTAGATGGATGTTGTTTCAATGCATTTTACTGAAGAAACACAAAAAGCTGAACCTAACAGAGCATTCCTGCAAGAACCTGCTACTGAGGTCACATCCAACCAGATTATAAAACCCAACTATTTAATATAACTTCATACGCGGTTATTCCCATAAAGTCAGAAAGAACAGCATACTTTTGTTTCTCGTCCCATCATGTATTCAAACAGCACCTTCCTCAAATACTCCATCTCTGTGGACTCTGAAAGAGCATCAGGAGTGTTGATCCCAGGATCTGAATAAAAACAAAGATTAGAAATGTTTAAGAGCCAAGAAATGAATCGATAATTAGGTTTAATTATGCGTCCAAATAAAAACAATAGCTTTTGGCATCAGAGTGACATGTTCACAGAAGCACCTTCGGCACAGGTATGAGCATAAACGAAGCGCAGGCAGGAAAGAATGACGAGCCTCAGCGTGAGCACTGCCAAACTGTTTTGACTCTGCCCACAGCTATAACACCATTATCCCACTAAACTCAGTGAATGGGAAAGTTTGTGTTAACAGCTTTTAAGTATCTGGTAACACTTATGCTACAGCTTTTAACCACTGAAATATCCACATCCACTTGTTTTCTAGTTAGGTGAAATTATCGTTCAGATCACAATAAATGTGCCCGAGTTCCTGCAACGTGAGACTTTCTAAACTAAAGGAAGAGGCAAAAAGTGATTAAGAGACACAAACTCTTTGATCTTTGTCTTGGATCAAGAGGTCACCAATAAATCCTGCAGCCTTTGTCCTCCTGACCTCATTTTGCCCCGGCTTAACCCACCGTCCCACCAATCACACAACACTGTCATGGACATGAAACTGGCCATCAACAACCTTCTGACCAGCACGAGTACAATTAACAGAGACCTCATTGAGAAAAGGTTGGTTTAAATCTTATCGAAATAATATATGCTTTAGATTGCATATAGTTTGTGATCTAAAGTGGGAGAATTAAATAAATCTGAGTAATGTGTAGGGCTGAACAATTAATTGCATTTGCGATAATATCGTGACATGATAAAACACGGTTTTCTAATCGCTGCAATTTGACTGGTCACGTGATCTGGCGACGCGACTTGCAAGTGAGCGGAGCAGAGCAGGGAGCGAGAGAAGTCAACACTGCGCATTAACCGGTTGCACAACGGCATCAGGCTCAACAGAAGCTGATACTTCTGAAAGTTTGGTACCAAAGAGGGGCAGCGCTAGGCCTGTCGCGATAAATCAATTAATCGCATGATAAATGAAAATTATCGACCTCATTTTCATTTACAGGCTTTATCGTTTCTTCATGTCTTTCTACTGAAGACATGGCTCAACTCCGGTGCTCTTCACTGACCCCTCCCTTTCTCTTTAAAATCTGTTTTAACCGTCCAAAATCACATTTTTGGATCGTTAAAAGCAGCTAAGCTGAGAAGCTAAGCTATGTGCTAACAGGCCGCCCTCGGGGAAAAAGCCTCCGTCTTGCCGAGCTCCAAAATTCATGGTTGAAACTGGTGCCTTCGTGTAAAAAGTTGTTCTTCTCTGCAAAAAGAAGATGAGAACTTGTTTACTGATTTTTTTTTAATTAAAAACTTTGTGTGAAAAATGCTGTGCTAAAGAACTCAAACCACAACGAGCGTCCGCCATGTCACTATGTCACCATGTCACGTCAAGGGCCCTCCCTCCCATTTTTCTTAAAGAGACACGCTGCTCAACTATCCATCCTTTGGTTCAAACAGTATTATACTGCCATCAGGTGGTCAAAAAAGGCACTACACTCCAAACAAATCAACATTTATTCTAAAAGTTGACAATTATTGTTCAATTTAAAACATTATCATCATTATTTATCGCAATAATTTCTGAGACAATTAATCGCCTAGCAAAATTTGTTATTGTGACAGGTCTAGGCAGCACGTCCGTTGTTTGGAAAGATTTTGGCTATAAAAACGAAGACGCTGCGGAACGACATGTATTGTGCAGAACGTGCCTTGCTGCTGTTGCTACCTCATGAGGGAACACCACAAATCTTTACTAACACTTAAAAAAAACCACCACAAAGCCATTTACGATATTTACATGGCTAGAATGCCAACGACCAGTGCTTCAACTTAAAATACGCAAAGTACCAGCCGACAGGGATCACTGACCAAACTGTTCAAGGGTATTACTCCATATGAACATAATTTGAAATGGCATGTGGAAATAACTCGAGCAATAATGGAGTTCATAGCAAAAAACATGAAGCCCATTAATACAGTGACCAAGCCTGGGTTTACGACTTTGGTAAACACAATGAATAAGCGGTACAGAACGCCCTCGCGCACGTATTTTAGCCAAGTTGCTATCCCGGAGCTATTCAAAAAAATGCAGAAACAGAGTTGCAGCGCAGCAGAAAACAGTGGAGTTTATTGCAACTGAAACAAATTATTTATTGCTTGTGTTCGTTGAAAAATACATAAGAAAAATAAATGAATATTAAATCGCAATAAGGAGGTAAAAAAAAAAAAATTGCCATTAGAATATTTTCCAGAATCATTCAGCCCTAGCAATGAGGTGAAATTAAAACCATAGACATTTTTTTTTTTTTACTTCTCACCCATTCTGATGGAGAATTCTCTGTTAAACCATTAGAGAACATCAGTAACGCTCTCACACTGATGCAGCACGTTTGGTTTATGATGCATCCAAAGATCCTGTATGGGCCTTACATCCAGTCCGAGGAGGTTTACCCCAACTTTTACCATAATGGCAATATGCAATCCTCAAACTGTAATTCTAATCTGAAGCAAACCTCATTTACAACCACAGCCTCAACTTAACCTGGAAGCCTACAATCAAGCTCGGTTGACCAAAATGTTTGCAGAAGTGCAGCCAAACCAGACGACAAACATCAAGAGATCTTCAAAAGCTTGCTTCAGTGGGAGGTATACTTCCAGCTTTTAAAGATTACATTTCAAATTTTCTGCATAAAAAACCCCAAAAATGATCAATAAATGATAATAGTACATCCGACATGCTTCCTGTGTTGGATCGTGTGCTTATCTGAACAAAAACGGAGCCATGAACCAGAACAAAGTGACTCTTGGTGTTGAAATTACCTTTGTATGTGCCTCCCAGATGAGTTACAACAGCGCTGCGTTGGAAAAATTTAATCTTGTCTTCAAGTGAGTGAATCTAGAGAGAAGCAAGCAAGCACAGGTTATTTTTAACCCCCATGAGTAAACTATGCATTTACCCTCGCATGAGCATTTAGTCGGTCATCTTTAGGGGGTGTTTGTGAGGAGAGAAACCTGTGGGAGGTGTTGCTCTGATTGTTTATGGGGTTACACCAAATGTAAACAGATGTGCTGCACAATTAAGCCGATGCAGCAGGAGAGCAGTAGCTGTTTTTGATTGGGGTGAGGGGGGCGCTAGATTTCTGGGAAAACTTTGAAAAGGATGTGCTTTTTTTTGTTATCCCGCCTAAAAGTTTGCAAGATGTCCGACACTCACTCTTTCAACAAAGCCCTGCTCCTTCAGCCGAGCCTCACTCAGCAGAGTCGTCTTCTCAGCAAGCTGAGCCTGCAGCCAAAACAGGAAGACGATTAATATCTTGAAGTACCAAAAGGCATAAACATATATACGTTATTATTTTTAGATCCATTGTGACGCTGTATTTAAATGAAAATGTGGAAATATATGTACCTGTAGGTCGTCAGGGGTCGTCTGTGTACAGGAAGATAAAAAAGCAGAATATGTATGTTATAGAGTATATATGTGTAATAAGTATTAAAAGCCTAACATATCTAGAAATACATATGATTAGCCATGGCAGTCATCAGGTGCATCCAATTAGAATAACGTGAAAAAGTTCCAATAATTTTTGTTAATTTCAGAAATTTATAAAAAGTGAAATATTTCAAGCCTTTATTTCTGGTTAATTTGATGATTAAGGTTCACAAATAATTCAATAATAAATAAAAATACATAATTATATAAGAATTTATTAAAAATATTAAATGCATTTCGCATGTCATTTATAAATCAAGGTCCCGGCATCTGGAGGAAGAGTGGAGAGGCCCAGAATCCACAACGCTTGAAGTCTAAAGTGAAGTTTCCACAGTCAGTGGTTTGGGGTCCATGACCTCTGCTGGTGCTGGTCCACTGTGTTTTCTGAAGTCCACAGTCCATGCAGCATTTTCCAGGACATTTTAGAGCACTTCATGCTTCCTTCAAGCTTTATGGAGATGTTGATTTCATTTTCCAGCAGGACTTGGCACAAGCTCGAGGTACCAAAAGCTGGCTATGTAATACAGTAGTCCCTCGCTACTTCGCGGTTCGACTTTTGCGGACTCGTTCTTTCGCGGTTTTTCACAGCACAGTAAGATTGTACACGACAAAAAACAAATAAATCAATAAATAAATATAATAAATAAAATGTGTCGCCATTTTGTAGTTTTCTCTCAATAAGCCTATCCAAAGGACTACATTACCCAGAAGGCAAAGTTGCTTTCTGCTGAAATGGAGGGAAAGTTTTGATCCGATCGGACCAAGTTTGGTCCTTACAGTGTTCATAGTGACTTCGGTGCTCAGTAGATGCAGAGAGCCGATCAGAACCGGATCAGAACCGGACCAAGGATGGGTAGGTCTGTTGAACCAGAACCGATACCGGACCGGAACAGAGGTGTTGTGTTCTGCAAAGCTCGTGGGTAAAAAGGCATTACTACTCACACAACTTAAAATTTAAGTTGAGTGAATAAACATTATCAAGACATTAACAAGTTATCTTGATTAATAAACTCTGGCTAAATAAACGTTGGCTTTAGTTTACGATTTAAATTTAGCTGACTGAACTGTTTTGGTTTGTTGTTTCAACTCAGAAATCTGTCATTTCTACTTCGCGGTTTTCACTTATTTTATTGGGGGTGGGGGAGAGAACGTAACCCTCTGCAATAAACGAGGGACTACTGCGTTCAAATTTTCCGAGACATTGAATTTAGTTTTTTCATTATTTGTAAAACAGTCAAAAAATTACAAAAAAAACCAGAGGCTTGAAATATTTCACTCTATGTAATGAATCTACGTAATAGATGAGCTTTACCAGTACTTTCTGAAATGATTGACAACATTTTTTAAAAACTTTTTCACAATATTCTAATTTTTTGAGATGCACCTGTAGATGTCCATCCACTGATAACTTTAAAACATTTATTAGAATCTGTCCACTGGTTCATGAGGACAAGCAAACACACAGGCAAAAGCATTGCAGCCTTTTAGCCTTTAGTGTGTGAGATGTGATGCAAACACTGGTATTAAAAAGAAGTGTTAACATTTTATAAAACTGCATCATGAAGATTAAGAGACACAGAAATAGATCAGCAGCAGTGAACGACGAACTCATATAACAGAAATGACAAGAACTGAAAACACAGAATATAATCTGTCCATCGCTTTATTACACAGTGAACTCTGCGGACTAGCTGCTGGTCTGCTTCCTGTGTGGACAGACACGCTGATCCACTGTCCATGTGAAGAATGGTTTGTGAGGCCCGTAGAAAGGAAAGGCCCGCCTGAACGTAATCCCCCCATAAAGTTATTACCTCACCTGGGAAAAATGCAGCGAGAAGAGCAGTATAATTCAACGACTTTATGTGCAGACGTGTGTAAAAGGTAGAAACACTGTGTGGGTCTAACGCACCTGGAGACATCTCCCCGAAGTCCTAACTGGCTTCTCTCCAGGATATTTCATGTGAATACTCCTGTAGTACAAATTTAAGGCTCTAGAAACACCTCCTGTGAAGATAATTGAGAACAGGGACGGAGGCGAGCTGCTTTTCTGCGGAGAGCATTCCTGAGTGATTCAAATGAGCCTCGCAGCATTCGGCGATCTCTGGAGGGCCGCCACAGGACTGCAGTGGGACGCCAATCAAAAGAAAGCGTGTAGGCGAATTGTTCCTGAGCTTAGCTTTGGTAGAATCCCTTTAATTATGGAGCATAAAAGTAAGATGATAACCGAGTCTGTTAACCTGGATGTGAACTTTCTGTATAAACTACAGTGAGAAATAAAAAGACAGCATCTGGATTGTGTTGTCATCCAGACCTAATGCTTCCCTCAGACCTCGTCCCAGAAGGAAGCTGAAAATGAATCGTTTCTCACGACTTTTGTTTTATGAAGCCAGACTACGACGACTTATGACTTCAGCAGAATCACCTTGGACATTTCATCTAGCTTCCCAACCCCCCAGCGCCACATATAATAGTCTATAATGGCTAAATGATGGCGTTTTCCCACACCTTTGTGGAAAAAAATATAAATAAAATGCTCCTAACGCATTTGAATTGTGACAGCGGTCACAGACGTTTCAGACGGGGTCGTACCTCTGCAGTGCTCTGGCAGCGAGCTTGCAGATCTTCCAGTTGTTTCTGAACCTGCCACACTCTGCCTCCCATCTCCTCCTCCCGACTCTGAAATCAGATAAACAAACAAATAGCAGCAGAGTCGTTTCCTACGCAACGCGTCACAGGAGATTAGAGATTTCCCTACCCTTACTTGTAACCACATTTTTGGTTTTCTAGACAGATAAAAAGGCAGGCTGTGCTGTGCATTTCTATTTTCAAAAATAATAGTAAAAATAAGAATGAATGAATGGATTAAAGTAAATAGGAAAGAACAGTAACAGCACAACTGTTTGATCACACTTAATTTAACACCCACCTTTATTATCTACTAGATCTACAGAGGTAATTTTCCTCTCCCCTGACTGAATGTGTGCTACAGTAGGTGTACCTCACTTAAACACATTTTAACCTTAAAGATGAATGTTTTTAGGCTTAAATTACAATAATACCTGTATAACCTGCTCATATTTCTTAACGGTTCTTTGTAAATCATCCTCCTTCTGGGAAATCACCTTCCTCAGCTGGCTGGCTTCATCACGATGGCTGTAGATGAGCTCGGTTTCTACAGCCTGGGCCTTGGCTGTGAGAAAACAAAAAGGACAGAATCGATGACTTAGAACTCTCTAAAGAATTAACACAATAAAACAAACGTTTTGTTACAGGCATCCCATACTACTGTTTTACAGGAACGTCTATTATATGGATTATTTACTACTTAAGGGCACTTTTTTCAATATTACATTTCAATGGAAGAATCTGACCATAAGAGCAGAGCTTTTTTGTTTCTCATCGTGTGAATGTTTATGAAGCATCCATTCTATTGTGATCCATTTTTCTTCCATACATTTTTCCTGCATCCTTCTCGTTCCAAATGTTTGTGTTATTTCAACAAACCACAAATCAAAACATTCAGCTCTTTCAGGACAATCCTGCTATGAACTTTGGTATCGGTGCAACTTTGAAATATTTAACCTTTTCTGCCACGTTTTCTCATAGAAAATGAATTGAGCTCATTTTACATCCTTCAAATCTTTAGATCTGTTTACAACCTTTTACTGCTCCTTTCACATTTTGTTCTGGTTCAGCTTCTTTCAGCTTCCTTGTGACAAGTTAAACTTTTTTCAGCTACTTTCAGCTGTTTTGTGCTCCTTTCAGATTATTTCTGCTAACTACAACATTTTTGTGCTTCTTCTAACTTCTTTCTGATAATTTCAACTTAGTATGCTCCTTTCAGCCTATTTCTGCAAGTTTCAGCTTTTTCTGCTATTTCAGTTACTATTTAGCTGTTTTATGCTAATTTGAGCCTTTTCAGCTAATTCCACATTTTTGGCACTCTAGACATTTTTTTCAATTCAGCAAAATGTACTCTCTCCACTTCCTTCTGGTAATTTAAGCTTATTTCTGGCTTTTAAGCTACTTTTCAGCTGTTTTTTTGTTGTTGCTGATTTCAGCTGTTTTCAGATCATTTCCACTTCTTTGTGCTCATTTCTGCTTCTTTCAGCCAAATTAGGCAAACCTGTGTTATTTCTGCTTTCTTCTGATAATTTATTCAGCTACCTTTTTTAGAAAACTTTTAGCTAATTTCAGCTGTTTTCAGACAAATTCGAGTTTGTGGTAATTTTTGCTACTTTCAGCAACTTTAATTAACTTCTTTGTTAATTTTAGCTTGTTATACTCCTTTCAGCTTTTTTCTACTAGTTTCAGCTTTTTCTGCGATTTCAGCTACTATTTAGCTGTTTTTATGCAACTCTTTCAGCTAATTCCACAATTTTGAGCTCATTTCAGCTCTTTCCATTTCCTTCTCATAGGTTAAGCTTCTTTCTGCCTTTTCAGCTACATTTCAGCATGTTTTTAGCTAATTTCAGTATTTTTCAGCAAGTTCTTCAGCAACAAGCACTCACACTGCATTTTCGCAGGAAATGCAATTTCTTTAGTTAATGTAAATCTCGTCACTTTGATTTTTGTCTCTCACCAATGGTCTCCTTCACTGATGTGTCGAGCTCCTTCTCCTTCAGAGCCATCTGTGTGTTGAACTCCCTCAGTAATTGCTTCATAGCAGAGTTGTGCTTCATTTCTGCATCTTCCAACTCCAGCCTATAAGGACAGATTATCGTTTTATAGAGATATGGGCAAATATTTACATGCAGGGGCATCAAAGCAACTTTACATCCACAAATGTAGGATTGGTATATTTTTAATTAATTAATCACTAACATGAACTTACTTAATCGTTTGTTCCTTCTCCTCCAGCAGCTCTTTCTTCATGCACTCGAGGTCATGCTCGTGCTCCTTCCTCAGTGACCGCATATCTTTCTGTAAACTTGTAAAATCCTTCTGTATTTTGTCCTTTTCATTTTTCATCTGGCTCAGTTGATTTTTGAGCGTTTGAAGAGGTTCATCATCGTCCACCTCCTGCGCCGGGGAGTGATTTTCCATCACACTTGCGGTTTGTTGAATTCTGCTACGTTCCACCTTCACCTCGGCCTCCGACGAGTTCTGGACCGTCTCATTCGCCTGCTGCTGACTGATCTGTACGTCCTTCTCATGGATTTCCTTTTTCAGATGATTTAGTTCTGCAAGGAGGTTTTCATTCTGCTCCTCAGCTTCTTTTAGCTTTGCCTGGATGTCGCGCAGCGCTGACTCCGTTTCTTTGAGCTCCTCCTGTTGCACAGCGTCTCTCTGAAAGGACATCAGTTTGTCTTCATACGTGACTCTCAGCTCCTCCAAAGACTTCTCCTTCTCCAGCTTCTCGTTACTCAGAGCCTCTTCAAGCTTTTTCTCCTGCTCTTCTGCGGCCTTGACGAGAGCTTCTTCAAGAGTTCTTGTTTTCTCTTCCAATTCTTGGATTTGTTTTTTGCCCAAAGCCTCGTTGCTCTTGTTTTCTTCCAGGCTGCCCTGAAGAGTCAAAATCGTCTGCTCTTTTTCCTCAAGCTGGGCCGTCAGCTGTTTTTTAATCTGACTGATCGTCTGCTCAGCCTTCTTCTTCAGCTCGGATACTTTCCTCGAGTGCTCCTCGGTTTTTTTCAGCCTCTCCTCCTTGCTTCTGATGAGTTCATTTGTCTTCTGCTCAAACTCATCCCTTTGACTCTCAAGCATGTGTTTGCACTTCTGGTGTTCTTCCTCGAGGGAACGCAACTTCTCCACCATCTCCTGCTCCAAACTGCCGTTCTGAGCGCACCGTGTCTGGATCTGCTGCAGCTGCTCCACCAACTCCCTTTTTTCGTTCTCCCTGACATCGTGTTGCTGTTTGAGGTCGGACGTGAGCTGCTCGCACTCTTTCGTCTTCAGGGCTAACTGCTCCTGAAGCTCGCCGAGTCGGCTGATGAAGCCGTCGAGCTCCCGAGTAAGGTCGCTGACTCTCTGCTCTTTTTCACTCAGCACCTGGTCCATCTCACACTTGCTGATGGACTGACTGTCAAAACTCGCAGACAATCTTTGCAGAGCTTCGTTCTTTTCCGAGATCTCCTTCTCCAGCTCTTCCAGCCTCGACTGCAGAGACTTAATAGTGTTATCATCCTGGGCGAATTTAATCTCTGCCTTCTTTAGGCTGCTCCTGAGGGCATCTGCCTCCTCTGAATTGCACTTCTTCTCCTGCTCTAATCTCTCTATGCTCTCTTTCATCTGCTGTCTCTCCTTTTCAAACTGCTGAATCACCCGATTTACGGCTTCCTCCTTGTCGTTTATGCTACTTGCAAGCTGGTTCTTCAAGTCTGCGGCGACGCTTTCCAAGTCAGCCACGCGCAGCTCGTTTGTTTTCAAAGTTTCGGATACGACCCTGTCTACTTCGCCCAGCTCCTGGATTTTCTGAACGTGCTCGCTGATGCGCTGAGAAAGACAGTCCTTCTCTTGTTTTAAGGCTTCGATGTGCTCCACGTGAACGTTTACCTGAGCAGTCATCTGTTCTACTGAAATGCATAGATTCTTATTCTCCTCTGTGCGCCGGAGAAGAGTCTCCTCTAAAGTGCTAATTCTACCTAGCTTAGTAGGGAAAATGTTTCTGAGATGCCCGACCTTGTCCTGACTGCACTGCAGTCTATCATTTAGCCCTTTCATTCGACGTTCTACTCGCTGTTGGAATCCATCAGAAGTGCACTCTAATTTAGAACGAACCTCCTGACAGTAATGGTCCATTTTGTTGATGATCGCATTTAATTGCTGCTGGAACTCCGCTTCCTTGGCTCGTTGCTGAATGGAAGTTTCCCTAAACTTGCTCTCCAAGTCCTCAGTTTCCCGAAGTCTGGAATTTTTCAACGCTTCCAGCTGGTTTTCCGTTTCGTTTAACTTATCCGACAAAGTCTTTATGCTCTCCGTGCTTTCTTCCTCTGCTGTCTTCAGCTTGTCCTGGAGAGCGTTTCTCTCGTTCAGAGCTTGGTTAAGGTTTCTTTCTGCTGACTCCATTTGCTCTTTTAGCAATGCTTCACCCTGAGATAAATTTTCAAGCTTAACCGCTGCTTCCTTGAGTTCTTCTTGCAGCTTCTGCACGGTGGTGTCTCGGATCGCCAGGTCCTCCTTGACAGCTTTTAATTCACGCGACGCTCGTTCGTTCTCCTCTCTGCTCCTGCTAAGCTGTAGGGACACTTCCTCCAGTTCCTGGACCTTCTCCTGTATTGTAAGCAAATGTTTCTCCGTTAGTTCTTCCTCCTGCTGTGCCAGCTTCTCCTGCCAACGATGCTCCAACTCCTCGACCTCACGCTTCTGGGTGGCGTGCAGTTTCTCCAGCTCTTCCTTATGGTTGGCCTGGAGCTCCGACACCGCGCTGCTAAGGCCTTGGGAACTTTTCTGAGCCATTTCCACAATTTTCTCTTGTACTTGTTGCTCCTGCTGCTGAAGCTCCAGCTCTTTCTTGGCAAGCTCCTTCCTCACGTTTTCTTCGTTCTTCTGCAGCTTTTTCTTAAAGTTCTCTTGCATCTCTTTGGCCTTTTGCTTTATCTTTTCCATTTTTGCCTCCTGAGTTTTCAGCTTGGCTTCCATCTCAGTTGTAGTGTTTTTTAACTTGGCCTCGTGGTCAGCTCTTTCATCATCCAGCTGTTTCTTGAGACACGTTTGCTCCTCCAGATTTCTGTTCAGTTCCTCTGAGTGTGTCGTCTCCTTCTTAGAAAGCTCGTTTTTGGTTTCCTGTAACCGTTGCTCCACTTCTTGAAGCAACTTCCCTTTTTGTTGACAATCACCGTTCGCTACGTCCAACTGATGCTTCAGGTCTGTCAGCTCTCTCCTGCACTGATCCAGAACCTCGGCGATCTTACTAGACTCAACATTAGATGTTTTCAGGCTCTCGTTTTCTTGTTGGGCTTGTAATAAAGTCTGCTGTAGAGCTTCAAATTCTTTTACCTTGATTTGTAGGTTTTTTACAGTGGAATTTGATTCCACTTGTAGCGTTTTTTCTTTTAGGACAAGTTGTTCGATCTCCTTTTCCTTTTCCTTCACTACAATTTTTAGTGCATTGAGCTCCTGCTTCAAAGTTTTTTCTACGCCTCCAAGTGACTTTTCGTGATCGTGTTTGACATTTTCAAGCTCAACGCTGTGTTTCGACATCTGATCTTGAACCTTTCGTTCATATTCCTCTTGTGCAACCCTTGAAGTTTCCTCAGCGGCCACCAGCTTCTCCTCCAGAAGCTGTTTGTTGTTCAGAACGTCTGAAAGTTCTGCAGAAAGCGCCTCCAATTTGGCCTGCTTTGCATCTAGTTTCTCTAAAGTCTTATGGTTCATGTCTTTAACGTGAGTTTGGAATTGCAGCTCTCTCTCGTTCACAAGGGTTTCTAGTTCAACTTTGTGTTTTTCCTTGAGTTCCTCGATAGCAGCATTATGCTCCTGGGTCAGAGCGGCCTTGTGCTTTTCCAGCTGCTCCTGATGTTTTTCTTCTAATGCAGAGATTTGCTCTTTGTATCGATTGTTTAGCTCTTCCAGCTGACCGGACAGTTCACTGGAGGAACTGGATTCATTTGGTGAGATGTTCACAGAGCTCTCCAGCTCCAAAATCCTCTGCAAACACATCAATTGAAGGCAGTTACAGCAACAAAAACAAGAAAATTCTAATTATTTCCTACAAAACGCCTTAAAATTCATGGACGAAAACTTAAAAATGTAAAACTTTAATAATGTTAAACATTTTCAAATTCTGACATTTTACTTGTGTTTTTCAAATTAAACACTTTCTGCCTCTGTTTTCCTGTCATATAATGAACAGATTCATGTCTTACCTAATCAGAGCTCAATGAGCTAATTAGTTAATCAAAGCACAAGTTTTCAATTTATTTTTGACATCAATTAACTGGTTCATGCCACTACATTTTTAGAAAACGAGATTTAAAAGTAAAAACTCACTGTTCTTGCGGTCTCCAGCTCCAGCTGCGTCTCCTTAATCTTATTATCGGCTTCTGTTCTTATAGCTGCCTTCTGCAGCTCTGCATCCTCCAGAGCAAGAGACGCTTGTTGTTCTCGCTCCTTGGAAATCTGATCAAACTCCTCCCTGCATTGCTCCTAAACAGCACAATCAGTTCAAAACATAAAAATGCAAATTGTGTTTTAGGTTGTTTATATTTTTAAAGCTAATATAAAAATATAGAAGGAGCTTATACCACTGCTTTGCTGATTTTGTCTTTTACTTCCGTTTCTTTAGCAGCTAATTCTTCACTGTGAGTCTTTTCCAAATTAGCCACAGTTTCCTCGGATGATTTCTAACAATAGTAGTAAGTAAAATGTCAGATTCCATACTTATTAAATAACAAAACACTGCAGAAAATACACAAAAAGTAACAATGTTAGTAATATAAGACAGCTGTGATATAATTTTAATTAACGTTTAAAGATGGCCACACTTTTATATTATTCCTCCAATAATTCCTTTAAAAGGATGTTCTGTTAAGTTTCTGACCTTCATGATGGTGACAACTTCCTGTTTGACACGTGTGAGTTCCTGCTGAAGACTCTTCCTCTCTTCCTCGCCGGCTCTTTCAATTTCCTTCACTCGTTCGTCCAGCTGAACCTGCAGCTGTTTTCTGGCCTCGTCTGCTCTCTGAGCTACACCCAGAGTTCGTTCGAGCTCCTCAAATGCTTCGAGACGAACAAAAACCACGTCACCATCGGGCTGGATTCTCTTTCCCGCCACACAGCTTCAGACTTGGATTGTCCTCACCTGATTTCTCAGCCTTTTCTTTCTGATCCTGTAGCTCCTCTTTCTGAGCGGTGACCTGCTGGAGCCTGGAGCGCAGCTGTGCGACCTCCTCCTCTTTCATTTCCAGCGTCTCGTGCATTTGCCGCTTCGTCTCAGCAATGACCATTCCCTATAAAAACAAAATTAAAGAAACATTTGTTGCAAGTGTTTGGCCTCTTCACTCAGTGAAAGAAAAATAACCAACTCTGCCTCAAATCAAGATTTGACTAATGTTATCAAAAAGCTGTTAACGGACCTTATCCTGCTCCAGTTGTTCAATGAGATTCTTGGCATCCCGCAGCTGAGTGATCAACTTGGTCTTTTCTGTTGTGTGCAGTTCCTTTGAACAGAAAACGTTTGACAGAATCACCATGTGTCTAACTAGAGACTGTTTCTTCATATCATTTCTAATTTTCTTAATTTTTCCTGTTCGTGTTCTTTGTCATAACATCAAACTGAGTTTTCTACGTCAGGATGCTTCTCCCACAAACCAAATAAGCCAATCCCAACTAAATCAACAAATAAACCTGATTGCATCCCAGTAGCTTAGCAGCGCCTAAAACCAGGAATTATGACACAAAGCTGGTATTACTACAGCTCCCTTGATTTTTTTTATTACAATGTAAATATAAAAGCTGTCTGAGGCAGGGGTGAAACTATATCACCAGATAGCTCAAGTGGTTTGAATTTTTCAGAAAAAAAATGCAGATTAAACATAAAAATCACAATAATAGAACATACAAGCACAGCTTAGTTATCTATTATTACAGAGGCTTTGGCAACAGTTGCTATCACATGCTGCAAAACATGAAAGCTGCGATGGACAAGCTGCCCAAGCCAAACATACCACTGAAGCTAAATGTTTTGGGTTCAATGACAACAATGGTTCAGTTATGTCAGGCTGACATGACCTCGTTGTGGAGCTTGGCCAGGGAATGTGGATGTTTGGACACTGAGGACCACAGCCATCCGCTGTGTCACAGAGATAATGGAGTCGCATTATCAGTGAACTGTAACGGCTCTGGCAGACATTTTGCAGCACATTAATTTCCCTAAACACACTGCTCGGCTTCTGAACCGTCCCTCATTTTGATCAAACCTCTTCAGACCTACAGTTTACTGCAAAATAAAATTCCACCGAGCGTTCAAAGAAAGCATTCTGAAATTCTTGGATTGCCCTTTTCAAAAAAAAAAATCTTAAAAGCCTGCTATATACTGACCAGACTTTCTGATTAAGAATCTTTCATTGGGACTTAGCTTCACTTAAACACAGCTGCTGTGAAATGGTTCAGCCACCTTCATCTTCTCCAGCTCCTGCAGCCTCTCCTGCAGCTGCTCCTGCAGCGTTTCATTCTCGCTGCTCAGCTGAGCGCTGCGCTCCTTGTGCGTCCGCATCACTTCTTTGCATTTCTGCAGCAGGTTTTCTTGCCTTTTCACCCTCTTCTGCAGAGCCTCCATAAATTTGGCTGGATCACTGTTGCCCTCTCCTGGTCACAGAAAGAAAGCACATTGTTTAAAAAGAAACCTTATTGAAGCAGTTTATTTAAAAAGGTATAAAAGTGATTTGCTTGCCCTCTGTGCCTTCAGGTTCCAGTCCTTGCTCCTTTGATGGACTCTGCATGGCAGATAATGATTCTTGAGCCACCTCAGACTGAGGAACCTCACCTTCAGGGGGGAGCGAACTATCAGAGACCCCTTTGACTCGCTTCTTTAACAGAGCCACCTGTTTTGGGAAAGGAAATTACATTTTCTTTTATTACTCGATTAATTTATTTTCAAAAATGGCATCGACTTCTGCAAGAATAACTTTGTACATTTAACTTTCACATCCACTCACTTCTCCTCTAAACATGTTAATTTCCAAATGTTTCAAAACTGTAAACACAAAATAGTGAATCAAGTGAACCTAAAAGTTGTTTTCTTGTTTTTACTTTGAGAAATGCAAATTAAATGTGAAACGAAGAAAGCTTTAAATTTAAGATTCTGATATGGATAATTTGCTGTAGGTAAGGCTGCATTGCAAAACACTAAGAGATGAGACAGGTTATGAAACAGAAAAAATATTTTGCTATGGTTTATTATTTTGCCACCAGGCCAGGGTGTCAAACTCGGTTACAAAGGGGGTCAAAATTTAAAAGTGTTCGAAACCACGGGCCAATTTAATTTGATATCCGATATATTTTATTTGTTGCAGGTTTATTAACAAGAGTTTGATTGTTCTCATTTTACATTCTGGTCTTTCCACATCAAAAATCAAATATATATTTTTTTTTTAAATCGGTACCACTTTACAATAATGCTCCCCTTATAGATACTAATAAATAGTTTATAGATACGTTATGAATTCTACTATAAACACTTTACGAATCATTAATAACTGCTTATTTTGCGTTAGTTAAGGGTCACAGAGACAAAACTGACCAGTTTCTTGCCAGTGAGCCAAATCTGCCACCTATATATTTCATCTAGAGTTGTCCTAATAAACATTTCAGACTAAGTTGCTACCTTGTAAACACAATAAGCAATTGAAAACCTATTTATTTAAGATTTAATATTGTACTTTATCACTGCATTTTAAATATCTACAATTAATATTATATCCTAAAAACATTAGGTTTATAAATGCTTATTGTGCTCACAAGGTAGTAACCAAGTCTGAAATGTTTATTAGAACAACTCTAGATGAAATATATAGGTGGCAGATTTGGCAAGAAACTGGTCAGTTTTGTGTCTGTGACCCTTAACTAACGTATAATAAGCAGTTATTAATGATTTATAAAGTGTTTATAGAGGAAATAATAACAATGCATATAAACTATTTACTAGCATTTATAAGGGAAGCGGTACTGAAACATCTAACCATTTTTCTGACTTAAAATTTAGCCTGCTGTCATGAGAAGTTTGCACTAAATAAAGCATTTATTAGGTTTTCTTTTTTGAAAAGTTCAAGTTGTATTTGTCATATGCAAGGTTAACACAGGGTTTACAGTACAATGAAATGCTTAGGATGAGAAGAACCGATTTGACTCGAGAAGAGATAAAAATATTTCACATTGAAAATATCATAGGGGCCAGATAAGATGTTAACAAGGGCCAGATTTGGGCCTCGAGTTTGACACAAGTGGGACACTCACCTGAGTTTGGAGGACGGTGATCATTTGGTCTTTCTCTTCCAGTGCAGCATCAAACTCCTCCTGAAGATGTTTCTTGGCCTGTTGGTCCATTTGAAGTTCCTACACAATGTTAAAATATTTAGAAGAACAACTTCATGAACAAAAAACTGACTTTTTTTTTATTTTAATGATGAAGCGTAATCACCTCACGGAGCTCTCCGATCCTGCGAAGAGCTTTATCTTGACTTTGACTTAAGATGGCCTGGGTGAAAAAAAAATACAGCTAGTTGGTTTTTAAAAATGCATGAAAATAAAATATATCTTGTAGAAGTAGAAAAATCAGCAAACTTTGTTTATCAGGTGACATCACCTGTGTTTTCTCTTTTTCTCGTTGTGCTGTTCGATAAACAGTAACCAGCTGCACCAAACCAAACAAAGCAGATTACATCAGTTCCAGCTTCACTAAACAATTTGTGAATTTTAATCTTGTAGGGACCTCATCTCCTCCAGTGTCTCACCTCCGAGTACCTCCCTCTGTACTTTCCCAGGCTCCTCTCCACTTGAAGCAGTCGGTGCAGCAGCTGCTCCTTAGAAAGGGACTCTGCACTTCCCGGAGGCTCCTCGGCTTCACTCTCAATATCTGACGACGGGTCGTACGCCGGAGCCCCGGACTCGTTTTCACCCAAAGGCGTCAGCGAATCACGCGATGAGCTTCGAACCAGGTTTTCTTTCGATGAAGAGCGGAAGAGGTTTTCCGCTCGACTTGCGCCACCACGAATCAGCGACTCCATGGAGGGAACTTTCAGCTGAAGTTTGTGAGCGAACGACTGCGACTCCTCTCTCTGATGAAGCATAAAATTTTATTAACGAACGTGAGACATTATGAAGTGGGGATGCACAATATTATTATCGGCATGGTATCGGCTGATATTAGCGATACAGTTAAATATCAGACATCGGCCATTCCATCAAAATAACTCACCGATACGAGTCTTCTGTTTTAAGTTAATTTTTATTTTAAGAAACTGTCAAGTATACAGTGCCTTGCGAAAGTATTCGGCCCCCTTGAACTTTTCAACCTTTTGCCACATTTCAGGCTTCAAACATAAAGATATAAAATTTTAATTTTTTGTGAAGAATCAACAACAAGTGGGACACAATCGTGAAGTGGAATGAAATTTATTGGATGTGTCAAACATTTTAACAAATAAATAACTGAAAAGTGGGGCGTGCAATATTATTCGGCCCCCTTGCGTTAATACTTTGTAGCTCCGCCTTTTGCTGCAGTTCCAGCTGCAAGTCTCTTGGGGTTTGTCTCTGTCAGTGTTGAACATGGAGACACTGAAATTCTTGCTCATTCTTCCTGGAAAACAGCTCGAGCTCAGTGAGGTTGGATGGAGAGCGTTTGTGAACAGCAGTCTTCAGCTCTTTCCACAGACTCTCGATTGGATTCAGGTCTGGACTTTGACTTGGCCATTCCAACACCTGGATATGTTTATTTGTGAACCATTCCATTGTAGATTTGGCTTTATGTTTTGGATCATTGTCTTCTTGGAAGATAAATCTCCATCCCAGTCTCAGGTCTCTTGCAGACTCAAACAAGTTTTCTTCCAGGATGGTCCTTTATTTGGCCCCATCCATATTCCCATCAATTCTGACCATCTTCCCTGTCCCTGCTGACGAAAATCAGGCCCAAACCCTGATGTTGCCACCACCATGTTTGACAGTGGGGATGATGTGTTCAGGGTGATGAGCTGTGTTGCTTTACCAAACATATCGTTTTGCATTGTGGCCAAACAGTTGGATTTTGGTTTCATGTGACCAGAGCACCTTCTTCCACATGTTTGTTGTGTCTCCCAGGTGCTTGTAGCAAACTTTAAACAACAATTTTTATGGATATCTTTGAGAAATGGCTTTCTTCTTGCCACTCTTCCATAAAGGCCAGATTTGTGCAGTGTACGACTGATTGTTGTCCTATGAACAGACTCTCCCACCTCAGCTGTAGATCTCTGCAGTTCATCCAGAGTGATCATGGGCCTCTTGGCTGCATCTCTGATCAGTCTTCTCCTTGTTCCAGATGAAAGTTTAGAGGGACGGCCGGGTCTTGGTAGATTTGCAGTGGTCTGATACTCCTTTCATTTCAATATGATTGCCTGTACAGTGCTCCTTGGGATGTTTAAAGCTTGGGAAATCTTTTTGTATCCAAATCCGGCTTTAAACTTCTCCACAACAGTATCTCTGACCTGCCTGGTGTGTTCCTTGGTCTTCATGATGCTCTCTGCGCTTTGAACAGAACCCTGAGACTATCACAGAGCAGGTGCATTTATACGGAGACTTGATTACACACAGGTGGATTCTATTCTATCAGTCATTTGGGACAACATTGGATCATTCATAGATCCTCACTGAACTTCTGAAGTGAGTTTGCTGCACTGAAAGTAAAGGGGTCGAACAATATTGCACGCCCCACTTTTCAGTTTTTTATTTGTTAAAAAGTTTGACACATCCAATAAATTTCATTCCACTTCATGATTGTGTCCCAGTTGTTGTTGATTCTTCACAAAAAAAATTAATTTTATATCTTTATGTCTGAAGCCTGAAATGTGGCAAAAGGTTGAAAAGTTCAAGGAGGCCGAATACTTTCGCAAGCCACTGTATCTATTAATGCACTACTACTTATGCACTTTTCACTTGTCGCTTGTTAACTGATTGAGTTTAAACTTGTGTTGTCATTCTGTTAGAGTAAATGTTATGAATAAATATGACATTAAACATAATCCAAGTTGAAGTGTTGCGTCATTTTCAGACCCCTTTTAGGCATCTGCATTTTGTATCAGGTCATACTGACAAAGCCCATGCAGAATAATGTAGTATTTTAATTACACAGCAGAGAAAGCTATGTAGTCTCTAAGTAGGTGTACGGGGAAAAAAGATCGGTATTGGTATCGGCCAAATAAGTTTTAATATATCGGCCAAAAATCCAATCTAATGCTTTGAGCATCCCTATTATAAAAGTTCACAGAGGATGTGCTCAACATACTTGAGGAGAAGCAGTTTCGTCCCCATTGATGCTGCCTCTGGGAGACCTCGCTGGTCCTTTAGAGGTACTCTGCAGAATTAAAAAAACACGGTGAGACAAAGAAAAGCTGTTCTGATGAACCGTCCTGGGCCAATTAGTCATCCACACCCAGCATGGCTCTCCCTGATTAGTCTGGAGAGAGCAATATTAGTATTGCTGGTTGCAATACAGGGGCAATGGGTACCCTCATGCAATTTGGAAAAACAGAGGGGTTAAATACATAACAGAAGGCATCTCCATTGAAAAATAAACAAACAAAAAGGGTTAAAATGTTACTCTAGAGAACAGCAAAAAGGTTGGGACAGACAGACAGTTACAAATCAAGCAGCACAGCTGGTTGTTGAATTAGAAATGCTGTGTGAAGCCGTATTACAAAAGCACACAATTATCATTAAATGAGGTGAATATTTAGCAGCCGAGTTGATTTAGTTGACATTTTATCAACAGGATCAGAGACAGCAAGTCTTCTCCTCACTTGTCCAGCTCCAAGTTTCTCCTTCCTCTGGGTTACAGATTAATATTAACTCGTGTTAACTTTAAATAGTCGTTACTCCTGGTTGTGACATTTTAAAAACACAAACAAATTTTCCTGCTCAGTTTTATGGTTTAAGAGCAAGGATTTATAAGGTCAGAGATTTTCAGAAAACAAACATCTTCACAGCTTGTTAACCTTTTGAGAATATCTGAATTATGAGGAATCAAAAAGGCAGCATGTGGTGTTTTATGAGCAGTACACAAAAATCTAATAATGTACCGTATTTTCCGCCGTACACGTCGCACCGCCCTATAAGTTGCATCAGTTCAAATATGTCTAATAAAGTGGAAAAATCCATAAATACATTGCTTCGCCGTATAAGTCGCATCTATTATGCGTCACCACTGACACGTCGCGTTTGTTACGCGTCACCGCTGACAACCTGGAAACGTGGGCCGGTGTTGTGCCAAAAATCGACTGGCTGCCAAATGGCGGCCACGGGAGCGTGCATGGTAGGACTTTAAGAATTTAATAATATTAACACCTAAAAACAGTTGTTTGCTTGAAATTATAGTAAAGTTGTGTCTCAGTCTAACTTTTGCTTGATAAATGCACTTTGATGGTCAAATCAGCTGCATTTGAAAAGCCCATAATCGGAAGTAGGCGCGTGCACTGGAGGACTCAATGTGCATTTCTTCAAAATTTAACAAGATAGGCACCTAAAACAATTAGTTTGGTCGAAATTATAGTAAAAGGTGTGTCTTAGTCTTACTTTTACTTAATAAATGCACTTCAATGGTCAAATAAGCTGCATATCACCGGGGCGGTGCAGCGAAATGAAGCCGATTTGACGGTTGCTCCAGGTGAGCTGGTTGAAGGTGGCAGGCTACGGCAAGCCAATCATGTCATTAATAGCCCCTTTCACCTATTGCATGACACAACAGCATGCCGTAATACTAATACTCAAGTGCCATCTAGCGGCTGAAAATGGTATTTTCAGTCAGAACGAATGAAAACGGTCATATCTCAGCCAAAATTTGGTTTATAAATATGGGGAAAAATCCATAAATAAGTCACTTTGGCATATAAGTCGCAGGGCATGAAAATTATACAAAAAAAACGTGACTTATCGGGCGAAAAATACGGTAAGCCTAAATCTTCATCTCGGAAAAAAAAAGAGCTGGGCAAAACCAAGGAATTAACCATCGTTATGTGATTTATAAAAAGTAACTAACGTTTCTCTCTCTCTGCTGGCTTCCTCTAACAACCAAATGATACAAACTTTTAAAAAAGGCATCTTATGCTTTTTGTTATTCCTGAACATTTACTATTTGATCCATATACTTGTTATGCCTATATAGTTATGCTCACATTAAAAACTATAAAAAGTCGTGAAGAACATCAACAGCGTTTCTTTCTCCACAAGCTCCACCAAAACACTGCATCAAAATACTCAAAGGAAAAACTGAAATCGAAGCTGTGGTCAAAAACAAGACGACAGCAAGAAAAACAAGCGTCTACACCTAAAACAAACTGTCATAAAGAAAAGAAAACTTGAGTAAATTATTGGTTGGATTTATGTGAAAGGATTCTGACAACATTATACGAGGACATAATGTTGGAACATGACAATGGGATGAATTTGGGATGTTTGTCGTCATTTCCAAGAACCAAATGTGACTCCTGTAGCTGGAAAACCCTTCAGACTGAAGGCGTCAAAGTACACCTGTGCACCATATAAATATATTACAGCAGACCTGTTCAGTGTAGTGCAGCTTTATCCACTGTGTTTAACCTAATAAAGCAGACAGACTCTTCTCTGTCAGACTTTATGTGATCTTCTTAACATCTACACTCCAGCAAGAGAACTCCGGTCTACCAACCAGTTCCTCTTAGATTTCCCCAGATCCAAACTCAAGTCAACAGGTGATCGGACTTTTGCGGCTTCTGCTCCAAAACTATGGAACCGTTTACCTGATCATTTAAAGACCGCTGAGACTTTTAAATCTTTGCTCATGACTCATCTGTTTTCCTTGGCCTTTGATCCGTGCAGAGTCTTAGAACCAGTTAAAGCTGATTTTTATTGTTGTGTGTTGAATTTTTAACTTTTTTAATAATTTTTTTTTGAATGGCACAAGATGCATTTTTTACTCTTTTTAATCCGTCTCAACTGTAAAGCACTTTGGCCAGCTTTTGCTGTTTTTGTGTGCTATAGAAATAAATTGACATGGACAAACTCTAGAAGAGACAGCTAGCTAAATATATATACACACTAATCTACGGGGCTGAATTATCATTTAACGAAATTATTAAAAGTTAGAAATAGATATCAACTAAATAACCAGATTAAGCTCAAAACATGCCGCAGCACAGAGATTCTTGTTATTTTACTCTAATCCAAGCGACACAAGCAGATTATCTGCTGAACTAGTCTGTTACACCTCTATTCAGTCTCCTCTTTTAGCGTTAGAGCAGTATCACACTGAATGAGATTATTTGGTGACTCAAAGTTAGAAATATGTCTTTTCCATTAGTTTCATTGACTTTGGAGTGTTTGCTTGTGAGCAACCAGTAAACGTTCAGCCATGTTTTGCAGAAATGTCAGCGTATTCTTGCATGCATGCATTGCAAAACTGTATTCCTAACTTATTCCTATTATTGGCAGTCATCAATAATGACTTTGTATGTATTTTGCTATGTGTGTTACCTGTTGTTTTGTCTGTACAGCACTTTGGTTGGCCTTGTTGCTGTTTTAAGTGCTTTATAAATAAAGTGGTATGGTATGGTATTTAATTTAATGGATTACACTTTTTAAGAGACATATTTGGACCAGTTGTTCTTTAATAAGTCTTGTTTGCGACTAAGATGGCCACGCTCAGCCAAGCGGCAGCTTCACAGGCTCCCAGTGAAAGTTTTACGCTTCGACTCCATCTTTTTATGTTCCTGTTGCTTTTGTTTTAACTTTTTTCATCCACAGTGCAGGTATGACCGCGACACACTTGCAGAGTTTTCTGTGTCGTTGCTTGCCATCGTGGTTCAGTCCTTCCAGCGTCAGGCTCAGGCCTATCATGACGGCTGTTTCCATGATCCTCCATCTGCCTGCACGGACCGAACTCTATGGACCCGTTCGGTTCCGCGGGGGAAATCTTGGATGTTCTCTGTCTGCCGGACAAGGTTCTGGAGGGCAGTCCGGAAGGGCAACTACTGTGGTCCTTGATATCATCATGCTGCTGACGGGACCTGCTAATGCTGCTAATAAGTAATAAGAACACATCACTAACCGAACCTCAATGCTAACAGCACCATGCTGCTAACTGGACCATGTTGCTAAGATAACATCACTGTCATCAGAACCACTCTGACAACTGGACCATGCTGCTGTAGATTTATTTCTTTTTCACTTTTGGCACCTTGTTTTTGTATTTTTGTTGCATGCTTTGGTATAGCCAAACCAAATTTATGAGAATCGTGCTGCTGTTGTTCGGTGTATTGTTTTGCACTACTAGTGACTAGCACCATCTTAGATCCTTTAGCGTACCGTTGGGCGTTCGTTTCGCGTATATCTTAGATCCTTATCTACCGTTTCTTTTTACACCTGCCAATTTTGAGACATTTTGGAGACTCACAAATGCAGGTAGCCACCTAGTCAGCAACAGTCTCATCCAGGTGAGAAACTACCTTTAACGACAAGTGCTTGTTGTGAATTGAGCAAAACTGCCATTTTAACATCGACTATTGGCGATAAACAATGTTTTGAACTCATCTTCCACGCAGCCTCTGAGCTTCACTGGAATTAAGCTTTGTTTACACTGACATACAAAAATGATGTGACCAACATGGACACTGTGTTTGGCAATTAAACACACGTCATGTGGACTTTATGTCAAAACACTGAAACTGAACACCGACTTCTTCACTAGCACTAATACTCCTTACAGTTAATTACAAGCCACTTAAACACAAGAAATGCATATTTTTCACAAGTAATGTTATATATCAGTGATTACATGTTGCGTTGAGTTTGTTTTACACATACAGTACTGGTCAAATGTGTTGAACTCAAGTAAACATTAATTGCGAGTGTTGAAAGTTGACGATCTTTTAATGAGTTAAAAAGCAACTTGATTTCTGTTAACTGGTGTAGTGCATAGGTTTAATTTTACAAAGAAACAATGCACTGTTTACCATAAATTATATGTTGATTGGGTTGTATTCATACACAGTAAAAATAAAAATAAAAAACTAGCTTTTGAGAACTGCAAGGATTTTTACAAAGGTGTTCTGGTCTGTTTACTTGGAGAAGTCTACAATCTTGTGCACAAAGTGTCAACCCTCCAAATAAACAGACATGTTGGGAGAAGGGGAAAAAAACCACCAGGCAACATAACAGGGTCTTAAAGGTCTATAAAGCAAGCAACTAAAGCTACCCGGTTCATTGACAGGCTTTGACAACTCAAAGGTGGGACCATAACCAACACAGGGCAGAAAGCACAGAAGATTTGATCTCACGATCTACACCACATCTTCAAACAGATGCAGGGTTAGCCTACATTTGAGATGCCTTCTTCAATCCGATGCAAACAGGAGACGGATCAGGAAACAAGCTGTCCCTACTTGGGCCACAGACCTCTACAGATTCCCCCGAACCCACAGAAGACAGGAGGGAGGAACGGGGCAGGAGGAGGAAGAGGAAAAGTACGAAGAAGAAGCAGGAAGTGAGGACAAACTCACCACACTGGCTACCTGGGCCGTTTTGGGTCGTTTTGAATGGTCCAGAGCAAAGATAGTATACTCAGAGAGAAAAGCAGGCTCTGCTATCATCCCAGCCAGCATCTGACCCCATCAGTGCAGTGACGGGGCGAAAGGTGGGGAAAAGGAGAGGGACACAGAGAGTAATGAGAAAAAAACAACACCATGAGAGTGAAACGGCGCTGAGAGGGGGAGCGGAGTGTCTAACCAGTCTGTCCAGGGTCGGCTCGCCGACTGACACTGAGATGGATGAAAAAGAATTGGTTTAAAGTAATAAAGAGGGAGAGACACAATATGAACTGGAAGAAAAATAAGAAAAGCTGAAAAGTGAAACATTTAACAGCAATGATATGGATAACAGTTTGACATCTCTTTATCTGGCATTTCTGATTTTAAAATATGGGTCAAATCTGCTTAATCAAATAAACACTCTTAAAGATAAAGACGTCAAAGTGTTACAGATTTGTGAGATGGAAAAAAGGTGCTGCAATGTTGCAAGAAATTTTTATACTGAAAGTAAATGACCATAACATGTCTGCATTTTTTAAAGTAAAAACTCTAAATCGCAAACATCCATATTCACGTTTTACAAGAGATGCACTAAAAATCTGCTTCATCATCTAGTCACGTCTATGCAGCTCTAATTTGTTCTGTTTTAACAAAAAACAAATCCACAGACTTGCTCATACCCACTGGAGCACATCATCCAGTCACTGATGACAGAAAAAAACACTGAAAGGAGGATACATTAATTATTCATACACATGCTGAAATGTTCTCCCAGCCCTTGTTACAATGCCCTTTGCAGGGTTTCAAAATAAAACTCCCTTTTCTCTGAGCTGTTCCACAATAATTATGGTTCAGCATCACTAATTATTCATCATTAAAAAACTCAGTGCCCTTTCCAATCATGCCCTTATTAACATAAAATCACACAGTTGGTTAAATATCATAATGATTTACTTAAAATAAACAATGCTGTAAAATAAACGAACTCAGATTAATAATAATTATGATCAAGTTGATCCGGTCTCTATGTTGTGATGGACTTACAATCTTGTAAATTGTATTTTGTTGCCTTTTTTCCACAACACTCTGGAGTAATAGCTGCTACTCCTTTTATTGCTTCACTTAATGTCAGAGTAAAAGAAACAAAATTAGCACTTTTTAAAATTCCTAAAGCAATATTTGGTCTTTTTTCCCCCCTTTCACACACAGTAATCATTAGGCCCTAGGTCATTATTGGGTGGTTCATTAACAACACGTGAATTACTATTACTATTTTTTTCAAAGACTGAGAAAGGTATTAATCTGGACAGAATCCAAAAGTAAGCAGGGAGGTGCAGGGTGCAGTCTGAACAAGCACATTTAGACACAACCTATTATAAACTCACCTCTCTGTCACTGGGAGAGGGCATGCCATCCTGATGAAAAGAAGGGGTTTGGCTGTTGCGTCGTTCTCCACCGCCCACCTATTAAAATACAATTAGTTATATAATACAAACAAACAAAGTAAAATCTAAAAGTAAGATACTGTCCTGATAATAATGCTCTACTTTCTTTTTCTATAAAGCTCAAACTCCAATGGCAGATCTTCACAATACTGTTGTTAAACTTTAGTGGTCGTAATTTTTGAATGTAACGTTTGAACACTATAAATCCACGATTCTAGTTTGGCAGACAGGCAGTGAATATGACAAACTTTAGTAACACGCAACAAAAATATCAAGTCAAAAAGTTTTCACCATTTAAGGGTCAAAGCTCAAACCAACTGGTTTTATTCAAAACATGAGCAATGCAGGAATACATGTCCCATACTGACAGCAAACTGACATTATTACACACAAAACTGGCTATAACCAGTAAGTTTTACAGGTATTGAGCTAAAGTTTGATGTGATAGTAGCAGAGAGTCATTCTCAACACAAACGCAAAGTGCTAACAGATCTTGAAAGATCCCATAATATTATAAGATTGTGCACATTTGCGAGGGTTGACAGAAGTGGCTGTAACTCTATCTCTTTTCATCATAAAATAATCTTGGTTTAATGCTCTGGCATAGAAGGCAGTGGGCAATATGTATTTCTTCAAGGAATACTAGGTTTTTCATGAATTATGTTTTATTTTAAAGCTTGAACCCAATGCTTTTCCAGTATTATTAAAAGGGACTTTTTTTTTTTTGTCAAAGCTGAAATTGATGTTATGCATCTCATGCATATATGGTATGGTAACTAAAGTGTATGAGCTTCCAAAATTAGTTTTTGTCACATTTTGCACATTGCAATGACAGTTTACTTTTTTGAACGTGTTAAAAAATGCATTATAAAAAGCAATGAAACACAAAACCTTTACATTTTAAAGAAAAGCATCAAAAGCACATGTCCTAAAACTGCAGCTGGATCTTTAAAATGTGATATAACATAAGTAAATACAGAGTGAAAAAGGACAGACGCCTATGGTTCACTTAAGACTGCGTTCTACTTTCAGTTTCTTGAAACTTGTTGCAAAAATGGCAGCTTGGCACTAAATAGCAGGACTGACTGTCCCTTACAACCAAAGCCAGAAGCAAAACAAAGTCACGCCCATGCTGTCAACATGCTTTAGGAAATGATGAATAAGTACTCCGAGTCTGATGAGTTTCACATTTCGCTACAGGCTGATCGCTTTATCTTTCTAGGACAACAAGAATTACCAGTTCAAGCTTCTTTCTAGCAACTAATTGTTTTATAATGTTGCTAGTCTTTAAAAGTCATTTTAAGTTAAGGGACGTTGACATTATTTTAATGACACACTACCAAATATTTATTTCGAATCATGACCTACACTTCCGTGACACGACACCTAGTTTTGTGTGCAGGCATCACTCCAGCGTAAACAGACTTAGCTTCGTTAGCGGCACAGAAACAAACCTGGGCCTGCTGAGTTGACTGCGCATTCCTTTGCGGCGACTGCTCCTCGTTTATCTTCTGCTTAAGTTTTTTAAACATCTTGTCCCGCCGACGTAGCTACCGGCTGGACAGAAGACGTCTACAATCCGTCGGTGAAATATCTGGCGTTACAGTCCAACATCCAGTCGTCCGGGGCTAAGACTTCCTCGCTAGCTAGTTATTCAGCAGCTGACGAGGCGCTCTGCGCATGTGCGGCCAACGTGGAGGAAAACTGATACGTCAGAGTTAAAGAGCCATTTCAGGCTAAATTGCCCACAGCGCCCCCTGTAGGAAATATGAAGAAGTTCATCATCTCTTCTAATTTCACATGCCGTGCTCATCAGATGGAATAATCCCAATTAAAAATATTTTGGTTGCGTTTTGAGTCACTAATCATTTTAAATTTTAAACTTATTTTTATAGTAGTCAAATCAGCCAATCCTGGAATATCTTACAAAAAGATTTAAAGCTCTCGACCTTGACCTCTCTAAGTGGCTTTAAGAATCTGTTGGACTCCTGGCAGGGACCAATGCAGACATGTTCCTGTTTTTAGTTTTCTACATTCACCTTAGAATCTAGCTGGTTTTTTTTGTTACCTTTTTCTTTTAGCCATCCTATTTGTAAAAAAACAAAACAAAAAAAACCTGCAGTATTACTTTTTATAATTGTTTATTGTTGTTGCTGTTGTCCATTGTTGTCATCTTTCTTTGTTGAAATCAGGTCTCTCTTGTAAATGAGTTCTCAATGGGATTTACCTGTCTAAATAAAGGTTGAATGAATACCGCATGAGAAACACCTTAGATTAAGAAGTGTTTTATTGAACACAGTTTTGTAATGCAAAATAAATGTATAGAATATTTTATTTTTTTCTTTCTATTTATTTAATAACCAGCCCCCAAAATTTATAACAGGCTTTTATGGTCATCCACTGGCCAGCTATTGTTTTAGTAAATATCAACCTAATCAAATAATTCAGAGAACATTTTAAAATCTGGTGTCTTCACTAAATTTGAAGCTATAGATTAAGGAATAATAAAAACAGTACCCCAATTTATACGAATGTAAAATAAATGATATAATAAGTTGCAGTAATTGAATATAAAAACAATGTGCACAGCACCAATATGTGCTTTAATTCTTTGTTCTATTTTGTTTTGAACAGAAGATGGCACTGGTTTCTGTGCATTTCTTTGATTTTAACTCATGCCTGTTTAAAACAGAACCAATCCGACTTTAACTTGAATAACATGCCTTTTAGGTTTTAGGAATAAATTTATTTTTCTTTAGTCTTTATATAAATTTTTTGTAGCACTGCAGCATAGCACTAAATGCAGAGCATAAGAAACCTGCATTGGCACACAGAGCTGCCACCTAAGCAGCTTCCTGTGTGGTAATGAATGCCCTTTCACTGCTGCACTTTCATCTGTGCAAGTTTTCCCAGTGCAAAGCAACTTTTCCCACAGTTTCTATCATAAGATGTCAAATGCAGTAACTTTTCTTTTGCTTCCCTTTTGCATGATCTGAACATGTATGTTTCCTAAGAAAGACCATGCTTATCATGTTAGTTTGGAGTTTTTTTAACTTAATGGTTTTATTCTTCCATAGGAATACAAGCATGCCCTGATGTTAATACAGTAAACAAGGGAAACAATTAAACCTGCAGCAAACTCATTTTTATGGATTATATATAATTATATTTTAATTTCCTGCTGCTGATGAAGCATTTGGTTTAAAAAAGTTTAATGATAGCACTGTGATTAAAATATTTTTAGGTTGGAACCAATCTTTAGGAGCCACTATGCACATGCAACACAATAAACACAAATCAACCATTTTTATTTATTTAAAAAAATGATATCTGTAGTGAAGCCTATGCACTTGGATTGGTCAAATTAAACTTGTATTGATGTGTTTCTAAAAATAGGACACTGTTTTTTGCTCTCCGTCTAAGTCATGGTGTCCTTGGGTAATATAATAAATACAGCAATAGGCAGAGAAGTTGATGGAAACCATGTTATAGGCATGAGTCATGGTTTAAACATGTGGTGTATTCCCTCCTTTGGGGTCTGGCCATGTGCAGAAATCCATCTCTGAGTCAGACTTGTGTCTTTCTTGTTTAAATACATTGCAAGTCTTGTCATTTTAAGCTGAAAAGACGTTATTATTATTATTATTATTTTAATCATTTTTTCAGCATTCAGACTTGAGCGCCCTGGATTCAGAAGGGCAACTCAGCAGTCCTCCATCGGAGATCAGGGTTGATCTCTGATGATAGTGAGTCCAAACGACGGGAGGTTAACGGCAAAGCGAAGCAGCTCCCAATACTCCAAGCAGCAGCCCGAGGCATTCTGCTCAGAAGGATTTGAAGCTAAATGAAGCTGAAACTGTACAAGCAGTATTTTTTTTTTAGGGGACCAGTCACAGAGTTGTGTTATTATACGTGTGTCCTGAGTGGTTCACTCCTAGTGCCTGGAAAACAAACACAACATTCATTCCAGGCACCCAGAACAGCACAACACTTTTGTTGTGATTGGCACAAAAATAGAGCAAAAAGGTTTTTCTTACGTTTGGACAATTTTTTGTTCTATCATGACTGTTAAGGTCAGCTTATTAGATAATGGTTTATTTTACATTTACCTTACATTTTTTGCTGACAAATAACAAGATATCTGCTTCTTATACAATAACCATTATTCTGCATTTAATCAATTTACAAAGGCAAGTTTTATTCTCAGCTACGCCCTTTTGCAGGGATTGTCTCAGAGAGCAAGCTCGTACAATATTTACCTTTACCTACAAATACCTTCCTTATAGAAATACACCCAAGCTCACTATAAGTATACTGTTTCTTAGAAATGCTCCAGCATATTTTTTATTTTGTTTCCTTTCCGCTAAATTTAGCTTTTGGCCTGCCTTTTTCTACTTTAAGCTTATAGCTATTGTTGTGCTACTGTTAGCTTATGTTTAGCTACTTTGGGGTTTCAGATAGACATTTACTACTTTTAACTACCCTTTTTTGTTAATGTTGCTATAAGCTTGTCTTTTCTATTTTTACCAAGACTTTTGTTTTTAGCTCACCTTTAAGTTTAACGTTAAGCTTTTACCTAGTGTTTGCTTTGTAGCTTTTAGCTAGTGTTTTGCTTCTTTGAGCTTTAGCTTCTTCAGCAAATGTCAGCAAAATCAGAACTCAGCATTTATGCTGCTATGCAAATGGCTGTTTGGTGTTGCCACTGAGATGTACCAGCAGAATTATGAAGGCAGATGAAAAAAATCAAGCAGAGTCGGCCTGTCCCAAAACAAATGTTGTTTTCTGAATCTGGCTTCCCCGCTTGGTCTTGAATAGGCCAACTATCTCAAAAGTTTCCTGGAGGTTATATGAATAAAAGGCTCTGCCCCCCCCCCCCCCCCATCATTCCCGATGACATGTGTGGACCTGTGTCAGAGCTGAGCCGGCTGATAGACACTGTGCCATCTCTTATCAGGACTATGGAACATTCTGGCAGTGTCCACGGACAACTCACCGCCTTTGTCGGCCTCCTCATGCATGAATGTATTATGATGTCATTAGTATGTTGCTGTTTATGTGCAAAGTCTTTTTTTGAAACTGTCACACTGTGCCCCAGCCAGGACATAGCGCAAGATAAGTTTTTTATTTTTACCTCCCCTCCCCTCCCCTCGTGTTTCTCTTTTCCTTTCCTGATCTACTTTTGTCTGTCAGTAACAAGTCTCTCTTGTAAATGAGTCCTCGAGGCTCAGTGGGAACTAACCTGTATAAATAAAGGTGGAATGAAAAAAAAAAAAAAGCCATTTAAATTTACATTCACATCCGTGCTCAGCTTATTTTATATTGCACCTTTTAAACTGTTTCTAACCTAGTGATCCCTGGGAAAAGCACAGCTACAAAGTAACACGTGCCATTATGAGTTTTCCATAATGACTTGGCAATTATTGGGTGCTTAAGTATAAAAGTTATTAGACCTGAACTCTGCTCAATGCCCAGTCGCCTGCTACTACTTTAAACGTAATTGTCTCTCCAGAGGAAACAACACTAATTAAAAATGTATACACATCATCCCTGATTTGCTGGTTTCTCTTCCTTTTTTCATTCCCCCCCCCCCCCCTCCAATTAAAAAAAATAAAATAAAATACACGATGCAGATCAAGTTTGGACCATACCTTTAATTCCTGCCTGAGGGGAGGTCAGGTAGCCTCTGGAGCTGTTTTTAACCTCCGCCTCATTGTGTTCTTCTTAATATTCTATTAACCAGATCAACATTTTCTAAAAGGCCAAAGCAGAGGGTTTATGAGATGTAAATTACCCATCACAATTTTCCCACTGGCTTCCACACAACCAAAGGTCAATTGACTTGCTCACAGTGTTTGAATTTATTTATAACTCTTTAGTACACTCATTGATGAATAAAAGCCAACAGAATGACAGACTCTTGCTCTTTTTCCAGCTCCCATGGTGTCATCATCTGGTTGTTTTGTTCTTGTGCATCTTGTCACAATAAAGGCGTGCCAGCTTTGAGAGCGTGCTTCATAACCAGTTTCTGGGCATGAGTCTGTCATCGGATAAACGTGGCTAAAAGCACAGCTATCTATTTTTATGCCTTTGACACATGAATTTTATGTTCACCTGCCCGGAAGGTTGTAAATGTAATGTTGCAACCAGTGAGGCAAAAATACAGCATTAAAAAACATTTCTAAATATATTATTGCATTTTCATGTGTAGTGAACTAGGTGTTATTAATAATCTTTATTATCACACAAAGTAGATGCAGGTGCACACATGCATCCATACATTTTCCTTTCCTGCTTTTTTATTGTTGGAAACAACAAGTTGGTGTCCATCTCCAGGGGTAGATAGTCATTGTGCTAGAGGCAGGATACACCATGAACATATCTCAAGTCCATCAGAGGGACACAAAGACAAAGAACCATTCACTCTCTGACTTACTCCTAGGAACAATTTAGATTTACCAAGTAATCTAACGTATGTTTTTGGTCTGTGGGAGGAAACCAAAGCAACTTGAACTAGACAAATGCATTTCCTGCAAAAATGCAGTGTGAATGCTTATTGTTGAAGAACTTGGAGAAAAACAGCTGAAATTAACTAAAAAAACTAACATGCTGAATTGTAGCTAAAACAGAAGAACAGGCCTAAATTAAAAGATGAAAGCAGAAAGAACATAAA